TTTGTGTTCAGTTTAATAATATCATTATGAGTTCGAGTTCAAAAGAGGATATTAAAGACAAAAACCGTTTCGAAAAGGACACTAAAAAACATTCAAAAAAAGAAACACATAGTTCAAAGACTCCACCAAAGGTCAATCCTGGAAAAAACAGTCCCAAACTATCTAAAGGAGCATGGAGAAAATCTAGTCCCATTGGATCAACACACAGTAGCAGTGGCAGCGACGATGGTCGACCACTGAGTGGAGATACTACAGATGCAAAAAACAGTCGTCGTAACAGTTCTCCGAAGCAAAAAGTATCTTTAAATCTCAACTCAAAAAATAATCCGTTAAATCCCCAAAATGCATTTAAAGACATTTTACCTGGTGGTAAACCCAAGGTTCTGTGCGATTCCGAGCATAAAGAAGTAGGCATCTCGAAATCATCTGAAGAGGAAACGTCTGAGGAAGAAACCAAAAAGGGTACAAAACCAAAGACAAAGGCGGACATTGATGAAGAATTTCGACAAAAAATCAAACGTATGGATTACAATACGGTGTATATGATGGCGCAGCGGACGAGGGGGCCCCAGCAGTATAAATATAGGAAGATATTACAAGAAATGTACGATGAACAGAACAAATAGTTCCACTGATGTAAACTGTAATGACTCTTGTAAATATAATAATTATATCTATTAATGGTGGTTGTAATTTGCCTACAGAGATTATGTTATTATATAGGTTTGTCTACTAATAATCCCCTCAGATACCAAGATGCCAAGGAACTATCAAATTGAGAATTATTGTTGAAATGAATGGCTGGTGAAAATTGCTCACCAATTCAGATACATGTAGTTGATTTTCAAGTCTTATAATTTATTTCAAACATTAACTTATATATTGTTGGGTTTTTTTTACATTATTATATCGTCTGAAAAAGAGACGTCATTTGAATCATTTTTAATCCCTTGCATACTAAACTATTTTGAAAGTTGAATCTCTAAAAGTAATAGAAAATTTGTCAAAATTTGGCATCATATGCAGACGGGATATTATCAAAACAAGCCAGCGCCACCTATACTCGTCGCTGAAATCTTTTGATGGGCCCATTTTCAATCAGATTGAATCCAAACCGGGGAGTTATCTCTATTACTCATATTTTGTTTTTGTTTTCTCAACTGAATGTGAAATAATAAATTTGAGTAGATTTGAATTCCGTTTAAGTCGTGAAAAAATAGATATTGTTCAAGAAATGCAAAAGTTATCTAACATTCATATTTTGTTTGTTTTTACTCAATTGCATATTAAGCCATGAAAAATTAGATATTATTTAAAAAATGTAAAACTCATATTTCTTACACTTACAGAATATAGAAATTGGTTTATAAGTATTTTCTTCAAGCAATTAACTAATTTTGACTTTAAAAATCGTAGGCTAAAAATATAAATATAAATCATGTTCTAGAATATTTCGGCATATCCCATCGCTTAGCCAACTTCTACGATTATTTCTTGTTTCTTTGAACGGACTTTGGCCAGAACGGTTTCTTATTTTTGTTATGAGTGGATACATCGTTTAAATTCATTCTGTAGATTTATATCACCATTAAAAAAAATAGACCGAAGGATCTTTGTTTACCACTGTCTTGGATATTGAAGAAATACAGTCAATGTTTTTGAGTTGTTGGCCGGGAAATACTCTCCTTGGTTCTAGATGCTCCAGGTATTTAGAGACATATTAAGCAGGATGCACACGATGTTTGCAACCAAACCAATGGTCATTACCACTATTACAGTGGTGCGGCTTGTGAGCGACCAGAAATATATACACATTGTTAATAATTGGGCAACGCCCTATTTCTGTGGGAAGGATCATAGAATCATAATCTTCTTTTTTAAAGGGCCAATCCCGATAATACTTTTTAGAATAAAACTGCTTAATTTTGTTTTAAAATCCCTTAAAATTCTCTACCTTCTGGTCGAGCAACTAACTCAACATATGTGATACATTTTTAAACAACTTAAACCCGTCAATCTTCATCTGGAAATGGAGAACGGTGTCCCAAACTGTATTATGCGGTGTCTGGATAAAACTAGACTTTTATTTTATAAAAATAATGTGTAGGTGAAGTTTACCTTTCGTTATCAAGTACAACACATGGGTAATTTATTGTATAGACCTCTAAAGGAACAGGAATCGATTATCAGGACACCTAACGAACAAATTGACCTGGAATCTTAAAAGGGTTAAGTGTCAGGGTAAGCAGTTTTGACGTTCATGTTCAAACGACTCAATATTTTGAGCTGAAATTTTGAGACAAGGTAAATACACCATTCCTCTATATTTTGGCCTTAAATTTCATACGTACTCAGACTTTCATTTTTGAGACTCTGTTCAAATCGGGATAGTCCCTTTAAGGTAGAAATACGAAGTCGTAAAACACATATCTGACCAACTCCCTCCGATTTCTGTAGATTGCAATTTGGTGAGAATAAATATCATCGTCCATTCGGTTTATATCTCACATCAGCGAATCTTGCCAAGAGATATTTCTAAAATGACAACCCCTGTGCCGAAAGATTTTAGATGGTGACCGTCGTACAGATGTGTTTACAATGTCTACTTTTTATGAAGAAGTGTATCTGTTTAGTCAGCATAATATATTGACAACTGAAAAAATTGGAGCGATTTACTGACAAAAAAATTTGTTTTGCTTACTTTTCTTTTTGTCCTTACTGTCAATTAAAATCCTGTTTATGAAAAATGATTCCAGATTACCACCATGGGAATCATTTTAACGTTATATGTAATCTAAAGGTACGCAACACAATCTTGTGGGTTTTGATGAATTTCAATAAGTGGTCATTTACAGTTATATTGAGAAAACCAACAGTATAGGATTTGACAATAATTAGTTTTAATGAAGACGGGCATACACCATACAGTGTGCTATGGGGGACATTTTGTCCGGGCAGCAGCACTATGACCTACTCTTATATCTAATTCCAACTGCCAAGGGATTTTTTACGTGCACGTCAATGTACACAGGGACTTAGTTTTTCGTTCCATCCGAACGACTAGACAGCTGTCATTGTCAAGCCCCCCGTCCTGCACCACTGACATGGGGAAACCACGCAGGAAAATCTCAACAAACTTTCTCGGCCATGCAGAGATCAAACACGCGACCTCCAGGTTAGCGAGTCAGCGTCTTACTCACTTAGCCACCGTGGCTCCCCTCACGGTGATAAGGTGGGGCTTGAATCTAAATTATACCAGTGACAACAATATTTAATACAGTGTATTATGTATTCATATTCCTTTTAAGTTACGACATCACTCTCATTCCCTCTTATATCGAATTCCAACTGCCAGGGGATCTTTTACGTGCATGCCAATGTATACATGCGTGACCTCGGTTTTTCGCTCCATCCGAACAAGGGGAAACCACGTCGGAAAATCCCGATGAACTTTCTCGGACAATGCAATGAACGAACCCGCGAACATTTCCTCCCTGACAACGTTTACGTATAGAATCAGAATTTATGGCTTTCTAAAAAATGAATGAGGTTTAACGTCTTACATTTCTGCTCTATCCGGGTTAATGAAGACAGACATAAGTCATGCAGTGTGCTATGAAGGATATTTTGTCATAGTTTGATTTAGAATTCAAACCATTGACAAAAGGAAAGCACACTGGAATATCCGAGGAACACCGCGATCGAACCCGGGACATCCAAGTTATATAGCTATCCAGCGCTTACCCAACCCACTAAGCCACCGTATCTTTTCTGTAAGATATCTCTTCGGCCGTGAAAAAAAAACCCATTGACTTTATGACATTGTCTTAAAACTGTAGTTCTGTTGTCACGGAAGTAGCTTAATTGACTTTTTTGAGTGGACATTCAACTTCCGGTTATGTTATCTTTATTGATACTGATACTGTGGTCTTAATTAGATAGTTTTATCAAGTGAAATACGTGCGTTGTTGCGATTGTACGTTTATTCCAGGATTATGAGATTATTACGAATGCTTAGAATTAAATATACCTTGTATGCCGATAATCAAAAATATATTGATGAGATTAATATTTCTACGTTATTAGGAATGGAATGGAGTTGGGTTTAACATCTCGTCACACATCCCTCGGTCATTTTGAAACATATGGTTAATTGATTCCTATGGCCCTGTGTCTCAAACCCCACCTGTCACGGGTTCTTTTAGGTTCATAATGTGCACAATGTTGAACAACATGTTTTCGTCCCATCTGAACACCTAGGCTACACTGTATTTGTCAACCACATAAGGGCTACCGATACATGGAGATATGACCGGTTTGACCGATTTGGCTCAGTTCATTTTTTTTTATATTTTCGCAATTCTGTTATGGGGCTTTTAAATAATATTATAAAACGCTATTATTTGGTGTATTTAATAATGTTATTATTCGTATGTATTGAGTACTGTATTGCATATCACGTGAGAGTGTCTTAATACTCTCTTATTTTGTTACTTAAACGACGTAAAGTGGCGAGTCAAACAGGGTACCGAGCTATTGATCATGGCCTACATTACGTATTTGCCACTGGTCATAAAGATAACTATCATATCACAACATGCCCTCTCAGTATTGACCATATTTAATTAACGTATTTCACGATTTATTACTCGTCTCAACTCGTCATACACAATTTAAACCTAATTTGACCGCGGGTCTATATCTGAAAAAGTAGGTCATTACGTTTATTGTATAAATTACAAAGAGATGTTCAGCATATTAAACAATATCATGCCATGTATACCCTTATAGGATAAGTTATAAAGGTTACATCATGACCAAACCATAGACTACGGTTACTTGTATTTGTTGTAATAAGACCGTTCCTCTCTCTCTATTAAGACCACTTTATATCAGTCCCGCAACTAGTCTCATTAGCAGGATTTTACCGTATATTGAATTTTCCACAGTTGACTTTTCAAAATGACTGGACCCGCCTCTACTTATATAATATTCCCCAAAACAGTTTATTTTTATTTTTTTTATAATCATACAACTTGCAATGAAGAATGGTTTCCGTCAAGGAAATGTTACTAATAAAACATTAATTAAACATCCACTTCAGATTTAATTATTTACACTTATTCCAGTATTCCACTTATAAAAGCCAATTTTAACCCCATTAATTATCTACATAGGTGTATTTATCTGTTTACATAAAATAAATGGTACAATGCAATGTAGTATCGAGGAAATCGGTTCACCCCACCACCACACTCATCCTCACATTAGCTCCGCCAGAATTACTTTGGGTGTCAATTATGGTCAAACAAGATACTGTACTGTCAATGAATGTAACTGGGCGTTTCTGTTTCTTCGACCTAAAGTGACTGACGTCTATAAAATCTACGGTGGCTGATAAGGGATATGAAAAATAATATCATTTATATTTTTTAATATTCACCCAAGTCAATTTTAATATAATTTTTTTTAATAATTTTCACCCAAGTCAATTTTAATATAATTTGTTTTTTTATAATTTTCACCCAAGTCAATTTTAATTTCCACCCAAGTCATTTCTAATATAATTTGGTTTTTTTTTTATAATTTCCACCTAAGTAAATTTTAATATAATTTGTTTTTTATAACTTTCACCCAAGTCAATTTTAGTTTTCACCCAAGTCATTTGTAATATAATTTGATTTTTTTAAATTATCACCCAAGTCATTTATATAGTAATATAATGATGGGACATTTTGCCCGGACAGCGGCGGTCCCGCCTATTCTTCTTCGAAATCCAAACACCAAATCCAGTTGGAGTGCCCCAAGTTCAAGAAAAAGGACCCACAGTCCAAGAAAAGGCACCCTCTGTGTCTAGTAAGAAAATGGGCCCTTTGTCTTCATGACCAGGTTCTCTGTGTTTTTGTCTACTAGTAAGATCAAGAATTATATTAAAATTGACTTGGGTGGAAATTAAAATTGACCTGGGTCAAAATTATAAAAAAAAACAAATTGTATTAAAATTGACTTGGGTGGAAATTAAAATTGACTTGGGTGAAAATTATATAAAAAAAACCAAATTATATTAAAATTGACTTGGGTGGAAATTAAAATTGGCTTGGGTGAAAATTATAAAAATCAAATTATATTAAAATTGACTTTGGTGAAAATTATACAAAAAACATATTTATATTACAAATGACTTAGGTGGAAATTAAAATTGACTTTGGTGAAAATTAAAAAAACAAAACAAATTATATTAAAATTGACTCGGGTGAATATTATAAAAACAAATTATATTGGGTCCAACAGTAAGTAAGAGTCACTTCTTAAAATTGGCTTCAGTGAAGCCGACATATTGATAGTCATCTTATTAATATTGATAGCTATATTAATATTCAGAGACGTATTTATATTAGTATAAATTTATTTATATCAATATAAACTTATTTAAATCAGCATAAATTTATTTATACCAGTATAAACTTATTTATATCAATATAAATTTATCTAATTCATATCATTATATACATATTTATATCAATATAAATTTATTTATATCAGTATAAACTTATTTATAGCAGTATAAACTTATTTATAGCAGCATGCACTTATTTATAGCGGTATACACAATTTTTATCCATATATAAACTATGATTGATACAATATAAATAAGTAAGTCTGATGAGACAGAAAGAAGTTATTTCCTCAGTTGTCTATCATGATAATATACAATATGTACACACCATTAGTCTAAAAACTACCCAAGAGACATGGGCCGTCTATCTTTTTGATCAATCAATAACATGGCTCGTTCACTTCGGGTCACAAATAAAGAGTTAGTTTGACCGCGTGTTGTTTTTTGTGGTCGTCCAGGTTTTAAAATTTCACTGTCTGAGGCCCGAAACTTTCCGGTTTCTGGTTTAGTTTCATGAAATAGATCGTCTCTTTCACGAATTTCAACATCATGTTTGGAAACATGTTTTACAGCATCCGCGCCTGGAGTGGGTTCCAAAACTTCAGCATCTTGGGTACTTTTGGGTACTTTACTGGCAGAAACATCATTAACTGACAGCTGTGCCTCGGCGTTTCGTTTCTGAACATCGGAATTCATCGCATCATTTATCAGTAAACGATGAATACTATTTTGTGACACAGTGGATGCCCTTGTCTTAAGTTTGACTGAAAGCTTTGACACGAGATCTGTTGGTTCCATTTTGAAACCAACAACAGAAACGGGTCTTCTGATCGATTGGTTCTCACTGCTTACTCTTCTGTTGCTTTCATACACATACATTGACATGATTTGTCCACGTGGCTTCTTTGGAAATCTGCGTACAACATCACTAGTGTCGACGTCAATAGATTCACGAGAGTCAGACCGAGCAGTTTTTTGAGATGGATGATCCTCCTCGTGAAGAATAACGTTTGGAATTTTTCGTAGTTTCGGTTCTGTGTCGGCAATGGCTTGATCTGCCGATTTCGCTGCACTTGCACGTCTAATGGGCATTTGAAGCTTTTTTGTTCGATCATCGCTTAGATTTGCCATGGTAGATTTACTTCGTCCGGATCTCATCAAAACAGTATTTGTGTGTGGTTCTAAAACCTCAACAGACTCTGTTGTAGAGATGGGGTCAGCTTTTCCAAGAGGGATGCTATTTTGAGCATGGGCCGAAGGAGATGGATTTGAAGCAATATCGACAGGCGTGTCTGTATCTGACTTCACTGCAATCTCTTCAGTTCGGGCTGTGTTTTGAACACGTTCCTCGTCGGTGATAATTTTGTCGGCTTTATTTTCGGTTTGTAATTTTGTTTTCTTATCTAGAACATCAGGAACGACGGCTTCAGGGGGGTCTCTGGGCTTTGGTGGATATTTGCAGAAAGAATTTCGTCTGCTGGCTATTATGCATATCGCTTGATCACGCAGGAAATCCATCCAACTGATGACACTAAAATAATAATGATCAAGAAGTGTACAAGAGTTTGATTTATCGGTCAAGCCAATCCTATAGAAATCAAATCATGGACAGGTTTGGGATAATCTATAATAGCGAAAACTTAATAATCAAAAGGGGGGGGGGGTAATACAACCAAGGGTGCTAAATTACCATAGTTAAATTATATTATGCAGATTAATAACATCATCATATGCCCTGTCCATTATTTGTGTATAGTTATATTTGTATTTATAAATCCATATCATATTTAATTTCATGCATATATGGCCTCACTATCTGTGTCACATCAGCTTTACCCTGTTTATTCATGGCACCCTTTGAAGGGCCTCATACTAGTTAATAACCCCCTACTCATGTATTAGAGTTTATGCAGCCAGCTAATTACCTTGTTGTGCTTGTTGGTTTTGTTAAATATCCTTTACCTCTTATATTATTTTTGTTACTTTGTTATTTTAATCCATGTTGATGGTTTCACTATGAATTTTGTATATATTGACCTCAAGTTTACTAAATGTCATTGTCTACGATATCACCTTAGGTGGAAGTGGACGTAAAACCCCAGAAACGAACTAAATTATCATTGTGCTTGATAACGATAAGAGGATACTTGTCGAAACGTCGTGCTTTTAGAATAAAACTAGTGATTGTATCCCATAAAAACTGTGTTCTGTTAATGTGTTTCCGATCGCTAAATGCCACTTAAAGATTATCAAATGAAATGGTGTTTAACGTCCTACTTTTCTGCATCGGCTGGGCTAATGAACACGGGCTTTTGTCATATTGTGTGCAATGAGGGAAATTTTTGTCCGGACAGCGGTTCGATTTTTCGTTCCATCTGGCCACTGCTAAGTGAAACCCAGGCGGAAAATCCCGAGGAACTTTCTCGCCAACACCGGGAGCGAACCTGAGACCACAGGGTGAGCGAGCCAGCGTCTTACTCACCGAGCCACTCCAGTTCCCATAATCCTAAAGTTATGAGATAATGCTCAACAGTGTACATATCAAGGTAACGTGTTTACGAAAGTAAAATTATAGAACTTACCCTCCTATTTCTTCATTAGTGAACAGTAATGTACTCGGGGTCGGTGTAGGGAAGCAGCTTATATCTCTGAAAGTATGGAGTACAAGTTTTGTGTTTATGTCAAACAAAGTACAAATAAAATAAAAGCATTTTTCTATTACCCCTGTTTATCATTTGTCAGATGAGACAACAAAATTGTGAAGTACGGGAAAGTAGCGTATGCTTGTGGAATTTCTAAAGACACAGTACTTCAGACCAAACACCAAATATAGACTTATAATCTGATATTTAAAGAAAACGTTGTATGTTAATAAACCAGTAATTGTTAATAATAGTGTTTTACTGTTAATCTACTAAATGCCACTCAAAGAAATATAGTTAAATATAGACTTATAATCTGATATTTAAAGAAAACGTTGTATGTTAATAAACCAGTAATTGTTAATAATAGTGTTTTACTGTTAATCTACTAAATGCCACTCAAAGAAATATAGTTAAAATATTTTATGAAGCGTGCAAATTCCCCACTTTTTGTTTTTTTTTGTTGGTTTCAGCTGATGAAATTAAATCTTTTATATTTGGGTCTAGATATGCGTCACAAATCACAATTGATACCTCGATTTTGCACCCAGGCCTACATACCAAATATTTTGCCTTTGTTACTGATCCTTCTACCAACTCCTCGCCCTACACATTTCGATAAGAATACAATTGGACGAGTATTTTTTTCTGCAGTGCAATTAAATTGTTAAACGACACAAACCTGAAGTTCTGCATCTGTGCCATACGTGATTCGAAACGAGTTATCTCCCCATCCCTATCGTGGTCGTAGTTGAGGAATATTTGTCTTGCTCTGTATAATTCTCCTTGAGTTAATATCTTTACCAGTTGATTCTAAGAAATAAAAGAACACTATTCAGATTACATGGCACAAGTCGCTTAGACGACGCAGTCAACCTACTGAACAAAACATAGAAAAAAAACACGATCACAACAAATTCTTTCAAACAGTTAAAACATAGCAACCCCAATTAGATGGGTATTATATCGTTGTCATATACAATAATTCCCGACCCTCCGCCATGCTTCTGCTGATGGATATACATAGCACCAACTTGCGTCCCACAGATGACTTGAAATTCAACGAATACTTATCTAAATATACAAAATGAATATATTGAGACCCAATAAATAAATTATGGCCAATAAAAGTATATTTACACATCCACGTTCGTGGGAATATATCTCTTATTTAATTTTCATCTTTGATGCTTAATTTGACCAGCCACGTTTCAACTTTACAATTTGTTCAAGGAATGTGTGCAATAATAATATATAATCTTATATTAGACGCATTCCACAATAATCCTCCTGCACAGTGGTTACTGGTGGTGGTATTCAAGTGTAGAAGAAACATCCGCTATTGATCATTTCCGTTGACTCGGCGCCATTTTGAGATATACCAATAGTAAACAGGAAATAGTTGCAATTATGGTATAATGTGATTATAAAATCAAAGATTTTGTCGAATATATTAACTTATATATAGAGCGATGGACACTTTATCTAAAGGAAAGGCACACTTGGCTTGAGAAAAACATGAAGAAATATATTTTACTCCGGTTATGTGTGCTGTGCAGACAATGGCGAGTCTGCTATATTTGCAACTAGATACACATCCTCTGTCAGAATCACTTAGAATTATACTTTCTCAGTAGCATCTATGTTTTTTTTTTGTTTTTTTTTTACCTTTGTTCTTTTCTCAAATATTCTGATGGCTTCACTATTGATGAATTGAACCCAGCTGATGTGACCAGTATGTTTCACGTCAAGTTTGTCAAATATTGATCTTTCGTCGGTTAGGCGTTCATCTGTTATTTCCTCTTTAAAGGTATCTCTATGAGCAGCCTTTTTATAACATAAATACTGCTGTCTATAGAGAGATGCGCCTGAAATTCATTAAAAGTACATTTTTGATTTTATACTAATTGCCTGAGCCATTTGGGTACGATGGGTAAGACACTGGCCAGCTGGTTCTATCCCGGTGTTGACTGTGAAAGTTCAATGGTGCAGGGCAGGGTGCCTGGCAAGGAACAGCGCCAAGTCGTTTAGTATGGGGCGAAAAGTCGTGTTCGAGTGTACATCTTGGCGTGCACATAAAGGAACGGAGCGTAGTTGTTGGAGCAAAATTTCCCCATAGCACATACTGCATAGCGTACGCACGTCTTCATTAACCCGGATGAAGAACAAAAGTGGAACGTTAAACCCCATTTCATTTCATTTATACTATATACAGGTACTAAGTGAATAGATTTTTTAGCCTTATTTTATTTAGGATTATTTGCTTTTAAAGTCAAAAAGAATTGTACAGTTCTACTATTAAATGAAAAAGTGCTATGAGATGGTCTAAAATGGAACTCGTACAATAACCGGTGTTTCCTTTTTATACAGTAAAAATTCAAAATTTACCTTGCTTTATGTTATATTGCTCTACTGTCGAAATTAACTTGGTTATTTCCGGTTCTGATAAAAGTCGTACCAGATTATCCTGTAAAATATTTAAACTTGAACAGTTATTTAATCTTATATATAATCGTGCTTATATATTTTCATGCAGGAGTATAAAAAAACAAAACCCCATCTTGTTTATTTTCTATAATACAATCCCGCTTGATCCTTTTCAAGTGGGAGTATAAAAAATCGTCCTTGTTTATTGTTGGTTTTTTCATGTGGGCGTATTAAAAACAAAGTCGTCCTTGTTTATTTTTTTTAACAAAATTTTGTTTTTGTTTCCATGTGGACGTTTTAAAACAAAGTGTTTCTTGTTTATTTTTGGTATAACGGTTTCTTTGTTTTCAGGTGGACGTATTAAAAACAAACTTTTCCTTATTTTAGTTTTAGTAACAAAAGAAAAAATAACGTGAAAAAAAAGATTTCTTTTTTTAAAATTATCTTGTAGGGTTGAATATCATAGAAAAAGTCTTTCTGTTGTACAAGAAATTCATAATCATAAATCCTTATGTTATCAATATACATTCCAAAATGTTTTATTTATGTTCACAGGTAGGTGAAAAGCTTAAGTAATAATGTTGTTATCATTTATTAACCGTATCGAACATATGAATGGATATCTCAAATGTACAGTATCCAATGTTTAGAACGACAAACGGTCGTACATCAACGTAATTCAATAAACTTAGTTTAAAATACGAAACCTTAATCCACGATACAATCACGCCTTTGCAATATTACGGTTCATTACATGATAAAACTTATTAAAATAAATGATCTATTTTGTAGGATAGTTTGATATTTAAATCATCTTTCCATTCAGCCCTTTAGTATAGGTTTCAAATTGCTGACAATTTCTTGAATAGAAAACCTTAGGTACGTCATATTCTTGAATAGATCAAAGGATTTAAAAATTTACATTTATAATATTATTATTCACATAATAAACAATAAGACAGTTTTCGGGTTGAATGAATTCACAATGATTAATAGAACCGTATGTTTATCTCTTGTAAATTTGCTAGATGATGTTAATAAAGAAAAAAACATTAAAATATACTTGCAAAACAAGACATGTTTTTAAGGGCATAGGTGGTCCGGAGAAGTTTTCCCCAAGTACTGGGAATATTTTTGTATTGCGACATAACTTAGATAAGTTTTGGTACGTAAACGCCTTGTGCTTTGTGTTACAAGTGTGACATTTACCTAAACATCTACTTTCCATCTACTTTCCGTCCCTGAAATATTATAAAATGCGCGTGATTTTCGCTTGACCTCATCGGAAATACCCCACTGCTTCTTTTTTGTTTTTTCAGCAGTGGCCTAGAACCTACCTACTATACTAAACAACGCCATGTTGCAGAATTTAATTTTTGGAAGGAACTATTAAAAGACAACCAAAAACACATCTAAATTTAAAACTGTTTAGCCGTTGTTTTGTCCTATTCGTGAAAATAAAAATAAGTTCATGTGATAGGACGTATTGACACCGCCATAAATTAGTAGATTTACTGTATAACAGAATAAGACATCAAACTGTCAAATACATATATTTCTATTTAGGTATATAAGCTTTAACAAACACGCTTAACCTTGATCAGTACCAGTTACATGTATATCTATCAAATTTAATGCAAATAATAAACAGAGATAGCTACAGCAGTATACAAGTAGTACTGTGCAGTGCATTGTATAATTTACATTTATAGTAACTGATAAATATAATGTAGACTACTAGTTATTCATGTTTACAATCCGTAGTTGATATTATTTCACCTTTTATTTCATAAACGTCAAATGGTTATGAATTTTGAGGACACGTTCCACTTCTCTGCCACGATAAATTCAACGATAAGAATATAAATGTTTTTATCTTTGGGACTAAATAGATAATGCTTAATTAGCGAATAACGTGACAACGAAAAGAGTATATTTTTATCCCACCACATATTTATATAAGATATATGAGATACTTCGTCTGATTTCCTGTACCGGAATGTCAATCTTTCCTGAAAAGATGGAGTGGGCCATTAGGTGAACATACTCACTTTGGAAGAAATGACACAGCTAATGTAATATAACATGAATCAGCCGGAACGCCATACCTGATATTGAGATCTAAACATGGTGTTCGAATTGTTACAGGTTATCCATTGTCAATCGATCTATGTGCAATATTTGATATTTTTTTGAGGATACCAAGAGAGATTAGCCTGGAAGTTCCAGCCGAAAGTAATTATTTTGAACAACTCATTGAACAAATTGTAAATTTAAAAACTCTCTGGGGAAATAATTGCCCTAGGTTTTGAGTAGGTATTTCGGATTTAGTATTTTTATATGTATTCGCTTCAAGTAAAATAAAATAAAAGATATCTATGACACAAAGTCAGTGCAACACCCTTAACATTTCTTGGCCACATGAATCTCTTCTAACTTTAAATATCAATAATGTTCATAATTCGATGAAACGAAATCTTTGTCTACTGTTAATTTTATAAATGAACCATCTGTTTTAAATACACATAGATAACGTTAACGTCTATTTGTTATATTATGCCGGGGGGGGGGGGGGGGTGGATGGCTTAGTGGTTAGCACGTGCGCGCTGTATCATTAAGCCTGTCATTGAGTCAACTGGCGTGGTTTCGAATCCCCGGTTGTACGTGACAAGGAGTAGGGTCGCCTGTCCAACCTCGTGGGTTTTCTCCGGGTCCTCCGGTTTCCTCCCACTACTAAAGGCCCCTACGCGCAAGCGAATTATGGAAATAAAATTGAACCATATGTTAGTCCCGAAATGACCTAGTTAGTTTGTATCGAGTGGACGTTAAACCCCATTTCTCTCTCTATATATATATATATATATTATGCTAGTGATCTAAAACTGTGGTTAAACTATGATAAGAACCACTTAAAGGTCGTGAAAAATCAGGATATCATATTAACATCCGCAAACGGATGTTTATATTTAATGAGTCAGAAGTTAAAGTTTTTGCCTTTTTAACATTAGATATTAATTTAAACGAGAGATAAAGATACAGAATTTAAAGTAGCATACAAATTAAAATCTATATAATAAATCGATCATCTTCTATAAGATGTCCAAATGCCTTGTAACTCGTGGTTGTTTTACACACGTGACAAACGTTCCACCATCTACACAAAGTTAAGAATATCAATTGAAAGAAGTGCATATTTATGTATTGGTCGCTTTAAGGTTCATTCGTGGTATCTTTATAATGGGCAAAAAAAGATATGAAAAAAGAGTCTTTATTTAGTATTTATTTAATCTCGGATTCACGTCTTCAAGGTGACAAGATAGATAACGCTGTCTGAATAACATGAAGTGCAAATATATTTTTGATCATATAATATACAAAAGGCAAGGGAAATGGAATGGGGGATAGCAAAAAAGTTTCTTTTCCTATCCATAGCATTAACATACGCTTCGTCTGAGTTCCCGTTCCAAAATGTTAGTCTTTCTTGGGAAGAGAGGGTGGACGATCTTGTTAATCGGCTCACTTTGGAGGAAATGGCACAGCAAATGTCACATGAATTACCAAGGACCCAAGAAGGCGTTCCAGGAATACCACGATTGGGTATCAAGAACTACACGTGGAGCACAGAATGTTTGAGAGGGGATGTAGGTGCTGGTAATGCTACTGCTTTTCCACAACCAATCGGTCTAGGTGCAACATTTGATACGGATCTTCTATTGAGGGTAGCAAGAGCGATTGGCATGGAAGTTCGGGCCAAAAATAATTATTTTGAACAGCACGGAATCTATGGCCAGAAGAAGGGTTTGAGCTGCTACAGTCCAGTAATAAATATTATGAGAGATGCTCGTTGGGGTCGTAATCAGGAAACTTATGGCGAAGATCCCTTTTTGACTGGTGTTCTCGCTCAACATTATGTTTGGGGATTGCAAGGTAATAGTACATCCCGGTATCTCTTGGTGAGTTCAGGATGCAAACACATCGACGTTTATTCGGGGCCTGAAAACATTCCTGACTCAAGATTCAGTTTTGCCGTGAATGTTACAATGCGAGATTGGAGAACAACCTACCTACCGGCATTTAAGAAATGCGTGGAAGCTGGAACATTCAACATTATGTGTAGTTATACCAGCATTAATGGCATTCCTGCCTGTGCTAATAAGGAACTGCTTACTGATATATTGCGTGACGAATGGGGATTTAAAGGCTATATAGGAAGCGATTCGGGAGCGCTTGAACATATCATATACAGTCACCATTACTTGAACAATACCGTAGATGCCGTAGTGGAATGTATAAACGCTGGGGTCAGTCTAGATCTAGCTAGTGGGAAGTTCGATTACACTCCTATATATTACTCAATTCCAGATGCCGTAAACCAGGGTCGTCTTACTGTGCAAAAGATCAGAGAAATGATGAAACCCATGTGGAACATTCGAATGCGACTTGGGGAATTTGACCCTCCCGAAATCAACCCTTATAAACAAATGAACCTATCAGTCATCGAAAGCCCGGCTCACAGGGCACTGGCAATAGAAGCCGCAACAAAATCATTTGTTCTTCTCAAGAACCAGAAGTTTTTGCCACTGATGAATCAAGTTTATGTAAATATCAGCTTTATAGGACCAATGGCGAACAGTACTAAGCAGTTATTTGGAGATTATGCACCCGATACCGATCTGAAGTTAATGAAAACTCCAATGGAGACATTAAAAGTTTTGGGGTATGATATCAGATATACCTCCGGTTGTATGGACGGTACACGGTGCTTGAAATACAGTTCACAGCTTGTAGCTAAAGCTGTGGAAAATACTAACCTGGTTGTTGTTTGCTTAGGACTAGGTAAGTACATATACAATCTCCCTTGGTGCATTTTGTGTACGGGGTAATATTACATAAGTTTTTAAATTCAGGCATTCTTACTGGCAATTCTAGCGGTATAATCTATCAAGTTGTGTACAATGCTATTTCAGAAATGATATCATAACTCTTTGCAATTTTATATTTACATTAACTTTGTCTCGCTTTATAGGAGTGGTTCTTGAAGCAGAATTGAATGATCGAAGAACAATAGATTTGCCTGGGCACCAACTACAACTCCTACAAGATGCTGTAAATGGAAGCCCGGCGAATGCCCCTGTTATGCTGTTACTTTTTAATGGTGGGCCCGTAGATATACGTTGGGCAGATAGTAGCGATAGGGTGGTAGCCATCATTCAAGCCTTTTACCCAGCTCAAGCTGCTGGCGACGCTTTATTAGAAACGGTTATTATGGCTGGTCCGTATGCTAATCCAGCAGCGCGGCTTCCCTTTACCTGGCCTGCGTCAGACGATGACATACCTTCCATGACTGATTACTCGGTTGAAGGAAGATCTTACAGGTATCCGAAGATCGAACCCCTTTATCCGTTTGGATACGGTTTATCTTACACTAGTTTTGCGTATTCGAATTTGAACATTGCGGATCAAGTGAAGACAGGCAGTAACGTGATAGGTTTTGTGAATATAACAAATACAGGTTTTTGGGGAGGAGACGAAGTTGTTCAGATATATCTATCATGGCCAGATTTCTCCGAACCAACACCACAATTACAATTAGTCTATTTTCAACGTATATCTACCGATAGTGGACAAACTTTCAAAATGGATTTTATCATAGAAGAAGAAAGCATGTCTATTTGGACAGATGCAGGATGGCAGATTCCCAAGGGAAAGTATACTTTATATGCCGGTGGACAACAGCCGAATGTAAAGAAGTCTGTTGGATCTAATGTACTTTCGGCGTCATTCATGGTCTATTGAGATAACGTTTAGATATGTATTACAAGAATATTATATATTTGACTTCACATGTTTCTCTTAATGTAAACCCAAACTCCATAAACAATTCTTGATCATATGAATCATTAAAGACATACCACACTATGACAAGACCAATAATAATTTTCTTTAAATGTAATACAAAATGACCTAAAATGTGTTCTTTATGTATGAACCCATTATAAAATAATGGAAACTTAACTTAGGATTGATCAATAATTTGAATATTGTTTAGATCAATATGTTTTTTTATGTATGGTCTAAAAGTCTATATTTGCCCTTCGATCTTGAATAGTGGTATTTCTCGTCTGGAATATTGTGCCTATATAAATATAAATTGTACTAAATGGCGAAGGAATGAAATATTTCACGTTGCGTTTAAGTCTAACATTGTCCACTGTTCTGTTATTGACATGAAGTATTAAAGAGACTATTATATGACCTTGGGTATAGTGGTGCCTGTCGAGTTTGATGAAGTCAACTATTTTATTTTAATTTTATATTATTCAAAGATGCATTATGTAGGTTTTGATTAAGAGGAATATATTGTTATGACTGTTTGAAGAATAGCGGAGTCTCGATTTTCATTGCAATCGTGTTTTTCAATCCGTTCAAAATCACAATCACCCCATAATCTAGAGAGTTGATTTATGAGCTTTTAAACGAATTAATATTTCGTTTAAACGAAATAATTATATAAGAATGGAATCGTGCACTTAAACATACATTATACAAGAACTAAATCTCCCTATTGCAGGTCTTTCTTTAGGCCTGAAATGTTATCTGCTGCTCAACGTTCATTTATGATTAAATCAAAAAATGGATAATCGAGATTGTTATCGTACCGACTTTAGTAATGATGATACAGACTAGGCCTAAAATTCTATCGCTAAATTCTCGGTTCAGGGTGGATCAATTTAACCGAGATTTTCAGCAAATTCCTTTTACATTATCTAGTTTTTAACTATTACAGTGAGAACTGCCAGCTCTATATCTAGTCTCCCATAATGTATCTTTAAGAGGCTCCGTATTTTACTACCTGAAGAACACATTTAAGTCCTTATTTGTTTGCTAAATTTAGATAACGGAATTGGTTATTGGCAGTCTATCGCATTGACCATTTCCCGTAATCGAAAACTGTGGTGGTCCCATGGTAAGAGCCACTTTAAAGTTGTGAAAATAAACCCTGCCATGCTGTCTATATTTAATGAGTCAAAGGTTGGAGTTTGCGCTATATCGAGAATCTTTCTCAACTTATTGAAAAAAAAAATGAAAGCCAAATCTAAGTACGATTTAGAGTCAAATTGGAAATATACATACGATAGATATTTACTGAATGTTAAATACTTCAATTCTAAGATATTAATATTAAAGCGAGAATTTTAAATTTTCTAAGAAAGTCAAAACATAATTATTTCTATGTCTTTTGCTCAATAGGTTATCAAATCACTATTATACGATCATGGGCATTATTTCCCACCCTTAAAAATCTATGAAACAGGAAATAACAACACAATTACCTCCCCTGTTTTGCTATTGACAACATGGGGCAGCCATTTTCCAACGTTGGAATTTGAAGTTAAAAATGATATTTTTGCCAATTTTTCAGCTGGCAATAGCGAATTATAGGATTAATAGGATTAATCTTTAACAAGATAGGACTGTTTATGGATACCATCTATTTTAAGGCTTTATTTTAATACATTTTAAAAATATAACTTAAAAATTTGCAATTGCAACTTTAACAAGAAATTATAAAACGTTAAAATTTGGAATTAAAAATACCAAAGTATAACTTGTACTAACTAAATATACGGATTAGTGCGTTTAGATGTAGAGTTAAATAGTCTTAAAATCTACCAGATGAGCTAAAAGGACAGAACCCTTTTTATATATATAGGCCGACTGATGAACACGAAATAATCTAAATCATCACTTTTGGTCATCACAAACAATATATTATTATTTTACGATTTGTCGCAGAATTTGCCACAGCTACCGTACTGCTTTTATTTCCACGCTGTCCCAATCATGATTTAAATGTATAAAACTTTCCGAACCTAATAAAATACCCGGGGTGTTTGGTTATCATTCTTTTTTTTAACATATCATTTCTTTATGAGTTATTCTGTAAGTAATACTCACACATTGATGGCAGCTCCACCCTAATTCAGATTCAGCTCTGTTTAAATAACAAACAACTGGTGATGGTTGGTGTTGTTCTAATTTTTGAAGGCAACCAAGATGATAAACTTGATAGCATATACGACACAGAAACTTGATCTTTCCCGTATAGACACTACATATATGACACAGTTCTTCGGGGTTAGGCTATAAGTAAAGGGTTATACATAATATAATAATTGTAATTACCGGAAATAAATATTTTATTAAATCATATCACAAAACAAGATTGTGTGATGTTCCTAATTCCTAAAATATTATTAACAAGGACGATATTTTTATACAAAACCTAACAGAGAGACTAGAACACTTGGTGCCAATTCTCGGCGATCACAGATTCGGGTTCAACGTTGTTCTAATCTTCAAAAATAGTTGTATTACTGTAAATCATGAACAGAGACTACGGAACAAGCTAAAACAGCAAAAAGTGCCAAACAAAACTGGCAGAAATAAAGGAAGATCAATAAGAAATGTGGAACAATCTTAGTTATAAATTCATAACAAAATATGTTAGCTACGTCAATTGTTCTGGAAGGGTTGTATACACTCGTCCCATATACAATGATCAGTTGGAATCCACAGTATGCTTTCTGGTGCCTTTTGCAACGTTGATAAACTCCTTTCAAAATTATAGCCATGTTACCGCATGGTTTGCCAAAAACAGGTATCGGGCAATGAACAGTGTATCTTCTTTGATAGTTCTTAAAGATTATAATTCTGCGTTCTTACAACAAATATAAAATATAACAATAACAAAACAAGAAATTTATAATGAAGCTTTGATTTAGCCAGAAATACGTGTAATAGGTTTAACGTTACCTCTGACGCCGAGTTAAAATCTATATAAACATCTTCTTGATCGTCATCCTCGAATACTTCTGGTTGGTGAACTACCTTTGAGAAATCACTCATCTTCAGGGACCTTGGTGATGTTTGTAAGGTTATTTCTGGAGCCGTATTCTGACGTCTGTGCTGGGTCGGGTTTCGTAGTATTGCATCTTCTTGGGTCTGTTCGCAACTAACCACACCTTTTCTATCGCTTGAGCTTACGGACACGGGCTTAGAATGTACTCTCTGTGTCTCTGTAGATTGGGGTATGCTATTTAGCGATCTAGTTCTAAATGCAGATTTGGTTTCCTTCAGAGATTTTTGGGACTTAATCGATTTGGAGGACTTCATCGACTTGGAGGAACCCTTGATACGCGATGATTTGTTTCCCATGATTACAACATATACCACAGGCTATAGAAATCAAAATGTCTCCTTGTTATCAATTTCTTGTTTTAAGTTAAAATTTAAATTGATAACCTCTAAAAGCAATATTGCTGTCCGTTCGATCCAAGTAGTCACGCCCGTGTCAAATATATGGCTGCAACTATTGTTGGCTGCCTCTTTTAAAGTGAATAAGTTACTTGCATGTTATAGGAATTTAACATTCACAGGACTAGAACTTCTATTCTCAACACATTCAAAGAACTAACATAAACTTCGGTTCTCACCATGCACAAATACGCATCAGACGCAACACATATCCAAGACTATGGCGTTGTTGAAGATATAAAAGAGTTTCAACGAATTTCCAATAGGAATTCTCTTTCACACATGTTATTACAAATAACTGTATGGTAAAAACATCCTTCAACTAGAAATGAAAATCCTTGTGTAAATTGGTATAATGATGAATTTAGTCGTCAGATACGTAACCATTCACGTGACACGGAAATCGTCACTTCTGCTCTTAGAAGGCGGGTTTCCTGTTCGCGCCAAATAACATACATGTTTTATGTGACAACAATAAACCATTTATATTTGATATTTCTTCTTATAACCGTTCATGTGACAACACTTGACCTAAAACTTTTTTATACCAAGGTCCAGTTTTTACGCAAAGATGCATTCTAAAAATAACTTATTCTGCGGTAAAATTAAATGATGCTGAATAATTAAGAAAAGGTTATTCAACACAGGGGCAAACAAGTCATCAAGTATTCTTTCCGAGCGTTAACCCTGCCCTAAAAGAATCAACTCATTTTGTATAAACATTACATCCGGTATAAATTCTTAGAATAACAATACTGCTGATTTGTTGACAGACAAATCACTATTATACCAATTATTAAAGTTTGGACAATGTACATCACATACTTGTAATTGCAAGAAAGCAGAACGAGTGGAAAGAAATGATCGATATTTTAGTTAGGTTGTTAGTAGTACTGACAGACTGTGTTCAATTTCAAACAGATTGTGTAGGCCTATCTACATGTATACAGACACATACCAGATGTGTTCATAAATAACCATTGACAGGTGGTGCCTGCATAGTCATTGTAATACATACATGTATACCTAAGTTCTGATTTACGAATTTGACCATTTAATATCTCGCTTTTATATAATAACGTATGCATATGTAGATTTTGTTTGCATCTATTGGCGAGAAAATTGATATAGATTTTGTTACAAAAACAACATTAACTGATTCAACAAGTAATAATATTCATATACACACCAAAATTGGGTCATTTCTGGTTGTATACTTTTGGCGCTTATTGTTATATAAAATCAGCCAATTTAACATTATTATCCCTAAGATAATCCTTGTTCAGGTGTTCTATAATTACACTCCATTCAAAAGCCAATAATCCCGACGGAGTTATTTCCCTTTGCTATATGTTAGACTTGAATCCTGCTGCTCTTTCCAAATTCGGCATTTATTATGATTTGACGTATCATTTTTATACTAACATTTTTATAATAACATTTCATCACAAATATTAACATGGTAGGTCCTATTTATTCTCTGGTTACGTGGCCATGGTATGTGTTTTTGAGAGGACGTGTTGTTTGGGGCGAAGGTATATTTTATATGCACTGCCTTTTGTTCGGGGGACCAAAGTTTTTCGGATTACCTGAACAACTAGACTCGCATTTTTGTTATCTTCGCAAGCGCCACCACTGATAAGTGCGAAATGGGCTTGACAAATCCCGAACGCGACCTGGCCTTGATATTTTGCAAGCAAAGATATACCCAGTTCTTTTTGGCTACAATCTCTTTCATTCTGTCAAATCTCTACCTTTCACATGGAATTAGGTCAGGAACGACTCTTTACAAATAGCTTTTATATTATCTATGTATTTAAAGATACGTTATCTACCTAGTTTCAAATGTTATATATAAATTTATTGTTTAGACATGAAAGATATTGAATGGATTAGAACAAACGTTAAAGTGGATAATCGAGACTTCGTTTATTATCGTAGTAATGGTACTTGACAATTGAGACAGTCTTTTCAAAACCTCAAACACTCAAAACTTCGCCAGAAATAAAGTAATTTGACTGAACTTTTCTCAAATAGTCATTTCTCATTATCTATTTTTGAACTATTAGAGCAAAAATATTCATCTTTAAGGCCGTGAGAGATGAAAACCCTATCATCAAGTAGTTCTCTTAATAGTATAAGGCCAACACCCCACTGATCACGTGTAAAGGGTGTTTAACCAGTATTGTAATCAATATGTTTGTGTATTTTTCAAACGTCATTTTATCACAGAAGATTATTATTGTCATTGATATTTATATTGTAATATGGATCATGTCGGTATATATCCATTTTTATTTAAAACATATTATTATTATCACATATATGACCCAAAAACTTATAAAACACAGATTTCTATTGCTATATAACTTATAAAGGACGTTCAATATTTAATAGTGTATGATACTTTCTGCTACACAGACAATTATATACCATGACTGGCATTGATAGGTATATATAATATGAATGCTATCTTTATAAAAGGGGAGCTGCGGTGTTGATCGACAAAGTTGCTCGGCATTTTCGGGCGTGGTTTACAATTGAGTGTTGTTTCTTACTCAGGGCCTGCCAAAGGACAGTGTCTAGTCGTTCGAAAGGCGAAAAATCAAGGTCCCGAGTACAGCTTGGCGTGTACGTAAAAGAACCCTTGATAACTGGAATTCGAAATAAGAGCTGGCCGTAGTGTCGCCATCCCGGTAAATCTTTCCCCAAAGCACATTGCATGACCTATGCTCGCCTACATTATTTTCCTAGTTAGTTCAGAAATGTAGGACGCTAAACCTCTTTTCAATTCAGTTTATTATTTTACAGAAGGTTGTTGCTTATCAGTATTGTTTCGTTCTTACCCGGCGGCATCTTTACTTCCGTGTTTTTTTTTAATATGTCGAGTTTTGCGGGATTCTTTTTATGTTAGTATTTTTCAGTGAATTTTAATGAAGTCTGATCTATAATATGTTATAGAGAACCTATATTTACATAGATCTCTGATTATTTACTCTGTGTAATTCTACCCATCACTGGTAATTATCATCCTCGGATTATATATCACGAAATTCGAACAATAAATATTTTACAAATGACACAAAGGCGGATCTAAGGGAGTGGAAATAAGGCTCTAGGTAAACTTTGAGTCGATGAGGATTCCTCTTGCGCGTAGGGCCTTTATTTGTGGGAGGAAACCGGAAGACACAGAGAAAACCCACGATGTTGGACAGGCGACCTTACACACTGGAAATAGCCGAATCGTGATTGTGACCTTAAGAAATAGCCTTATACCGCTAAAAAAAAACAATATTCCCTGTGCATATCCCGATTTTTGAAAAAATTGCTCATCTATTACTTTTATTTAAATATAATTATAAATTTACGGAATCTGTTTTAAAATCAATTTTTACGAACATTCTGAAAAAAATTGTTTTTTCGTAACCTACATAACGACCTCGACGTCAATCAGAAAATCACAAAATTGTTATGTCACTTTAGCACACAATAAATAGAGCACGGATGTATGATTGTGCAGAAAAAAAATATCTCCTTTTATTATGTCATGATACATGACAATAAACAATGCAGCGCGAAGATATGTTCACCTTTAAGGGACATTGTGTCAAGAAAGTTGAAAAAATACGCCACTAATAAATGAAATGAAATGAAATGGGGCTTAACGTCCGACAGGGCTAATGAAGACGGACATACGCCATACAGTGTGCTATGAGTGAAATTTTGCCCGGGCAGCGGCAGTATGACCTACTTATATCGAATTCCAACTGCCAAGGGATCTTTTACTTGTATGCTAATGTATACACGGGACCTCGGTTTACCGTATCACCCGAACGACTGACAAGGGGAAACCACGTCGGAAAATCCCGATGAACTTTCTCAGCCAATGCAGGGATCGAATACCCGACCTACAGACTAGCCAGCCAGCGTCTCACCCACTTAGCCACCGAGGCTCCCGCCACTAATAATGTTAAATGGCAATAGGCTGCGTGTAGCTCTTATATTAGACCAAGTCAGTAGTTTCTGACTATATTATTTCAAGGTGTAGCAATGCTTTGCATAGTGAATATCTTTAAACTACTTCCCATTATATAAATATTCTTCATAGTAATTATTAACTTGGGCCTTTTCTCAAAAACTTAAATATTATGCATTATGTAAGATTTAGATAAAGGGCTAACTATTCTTGCTATAATAGTTTAACATAGATAATGAAAAATGAATTGGATTTATATAAAGGGCTGATCATTCTTACTTAAATAGTCTCGATTGGCAAGTACTATTGCTACGACAATAAATGAAGTCCCGATTATCCATTTGAACGTTAAACGATTATATGGCGCGAATTAACTAATCCATTTAATATCTCAGCCATCCGATGGTCTAGAGACAAAGTTATAGGCTAGTCATGTGAATACAGGTCTATGTAATAATTTATATAACAGATGAGGCCATAAAAATGACCTACACTAGGCAGATTTAGCTCTTACATAATGTATCTTTATTGTAACTCATATTTAAAACACCGTGACATGGATGACAGCTCTTGACACTGATTGATAGATGCATCTGAAGTTTTGAATTATTTTTTTTTAATGAAAAATGACAACAATCTATAGTCAACAAACTATCCTTTATGCAAGGTATTCAAATCGCGTGTGAGTCGCTTTATATGAGACCGGTTTTACAGAACGACACCTACAGGATTAAATATAACACGAAGAGATTTTTAATACGATATTTGACTAGCATTATGTTCAGTATCTGATATATTTAAAACGTTAATTTCAGTACGATCTAACTAGCCTTGTCGTTAACACAGATATGGGGGCCAAGGAGTGCCACCTATTCTGGATAATATGTGTAATTGGATTGTCACTCATTGCAACAGGTAATTTTATCTTTTTTAATTAAAAAGAACAATTATTTTCAGTAATATTCAAGAAGTTATTAAATTGATTTCACAATTGTATTCGCGCCTAAATTAAATATCAACAAGTTTGTTACCAGTTGCATTTAGTGATATACCCTGTGCATTGGGGTCACATTTGGGTGGTTATAGGTTACGCAACAGAAGCTATCGCTTTGTTATGCTGGGGAGTTTTGTTTCGGAAAAAAAAAGAATGAAGGGGCGGAATACCCCGAGGAATTGTGTTGTCCCGTACCTCCTACAACGCCCGCCCATTTGATCATCGGATGATCGCGATTTTCAGTGGATTGAAACAAGATCGTCTTTTAATAATTTAACTAAAAAATGCATAATCGAGACTTTGTTTATTATCGTAACAACGGTAGCAATGACAATGGAGACTCCGATATTCTCCCAACAGCCATAACTTCCCTCATAATGCAATATTTTGACTGAGATTTTCAATATTTTAATTTTTCATTATCTATTTGGGATCACGTGGCTAAGTGGGTAAGACGCTGGCTCGCTAGCCCGGAGGTCGGTTGTTCGATCCCTGCATTGGCCGAGAAAGTTCATTCAGATTTCCCTGCGTGGTTTCCCCTTGTCTGTGATGCAGGATGGAGGGCCCGACGAGGACAGCTGTCTAGTCGTTCGGATGGGACGAAAAACCGCGGTCCCGTGTACACATTGGCGTGCACGTAAAAGATCCCTTGGCAGTTGGAATTCGATATAAGAGTAGGCCGTAGCGCCGCTGCCCGGGAAAAATTCCCCTCGTAGCACACTGTATGGCTTATGCCCGTCTTCATTAGCCCAGGTTAGGAGCAGAACAGTAGGACGTTGAACCCCATTTCATTTCATTTCATTTCATTATCTATTTTTAAACTGGTGTAGCGGCAACTGTCAGTACTGTATTTAACGCATCTTTAAGTATGTATGTGAAACCCGTCAAAAACTACACCCTATAAAACATCTGTGATATTTTTTAAGCGCGAGTATTTCATGATGCATAGAGATGTTTATGTATTACCACCCCGTCACAGACGACTACATACTGTCGTGTAGTTTCGGGTGATATCTTCTTGGGAACTACTAGATAGTACAATTCATATACTTTAAAGTCATAACGATATTACATAACCTTTGTGGCTAACGGTTATCAACCTCCAGCCAAAGCCGGATGATAGCGGGACGCACTGCACTGTAAGATCTCCACATCAACGCTAATTGATTCTGATATACAGTCCATAAACTATAACAAATACTTGTAGTCCGAGTACTAAAAGAACTCAGATCTTATACTTTACGAAAAAGATACATGATTATTATATCTACAATGCTCATGCAGTGTTAACATGTGCTCGGCTTCAAAGCCTTGTTGATGCAGGACGGAGGGCCTGACAAGGACAGCTGTCTAGTCGTTCGGATGGGTCGAAAAACTGAGGTCCCGTGTACACATTGGCGTGCACGTAAAAGATCCCTTGGCAGTTGGAATTCGATATAAGAGTAGGCCGTAGCGCCGCTGCTTGGGCAAAATTTCCCTCATAGTCCACTTTATGGCGTATGCCCGTCTCCATTACCCCGTTTATATTAGGAGCAGCACAGTAGGACGTTAAACCCCATTTCATTTCATTTCATTTCAAAGCATTTTGAGATAAACTATCTTACAAAAATCCTACATGCTGTCTGGGCAAAACTTCAGCGCTTAAACACCACTTATGCATTGAACGCGTCAAAGGAGTAACTTCAATATTTGGAACATTAATTATTCAATTTGAACAACTTCAGCATAATAAGGACGACCCACGAGCCAGTGGCCCTGGTATATTTAGTTTCAATGGGTGCCTTGCCCAAACTTTTGTCAGCAGACCATCCACCTTCTCGATCTTAATCCAACCCAATCTCCAAGTACAGGGACATTAATGAAAATCTCGAAATGAGCTAATTGACGAGTCTCTAAAGCTTTACTTTAACTCACCATTAAATGTAAACACGGTTTTAAGATATAAATATAAGTAGGATAAACATATCATATTACCATCGGTGTGGAGTATGAATATAAACGGACATGATAATCTGTATAATATTTATAAAAAGCTCGGGTTTAAATAATAGTGTACAGCTATCCTTTTTTCATTATTACATACAAACTAGAACATAATGTACTGTCATTAAATAAAATCAGATTTTCCGGCGTGATCCCCCTTGTCAGTGATGCAGGAAGGAGGGCCTGACAAGGACAGTTGTCTAGTCGTTCGGATGGGACGAAAAACCGAGGTCCCGTGTACACATTGGCGTGCACGTAAAAGATCCCTTGACAGCTGGAATTCGATATAAGAGTTGGCCGTAGTGCCGCTGTCCGGGCAAAATTTCCCATATAGCACACTGTATGGCGTATGCCCGTCTTCATTAGCCCAGTTCGGAGCAGAACAGTAGGACGTTAAACACCATTTCATTTCATTTCATTAAATAAAATACCGACTGTTCTATATTGCAATACCTGCGGGTACAACACAAATGTGTTGGCTGTCATTGTACAAGCCATAGGGCTGCAGCCTAAATAAAGTAAGGTTGAGAGAAAGGGAGGAATACCAATTTTATAAAAAGAATAACTGGTTTTAATTTTTTGAACGTTCGAAGACAGATAAACAAAAATTATCTGACAAAATATAATTATTGTAATAATTTTTGTAATTTACACATATTTCATTATGCAGAAAAATGTACTCACATAATACAACAACAGAAATACTGCTGATGATGTTAAAATTGTAATTGTATTTTTAGATGGTAAGCTGTATAAATACGGTATAGAGGCTGGGGATACTCAGATTACTTCTTTTCAGCTGCCATCCACCTTAGATCTGATTCCCTCTATCCAGTATCTCGGTAAAAGCTACAATAGAATTTATGTAAGTTATGCCAACTGTTTTCTCAAACACCACATATATAAGCAACTCATAGTCTAATCTACATAACACCAAATTTATAAGGATATTCATGGATCCGCGGTGGCTCAGTTAATTAAAGTGCTGGCCCACTAACATGGAGGTATCGGACTCAATCCCGGTTTGGGTCGAAAAATTTCCTCTGGATTCTCAGGTGTAGTGTCCCCTTGTTAGTTGGGGGGCCTGACAGGAAACAATGTTTAGTTGTTCGGGTGACACGAATACGTAAAAGTATCCTGACAGTTTGAATTCGAAATTAGAGCAGGGTGGCTATATGCTGTCTTGGCGAAATCTCCCTCATAGCACCATGCATGGTGTATGCCCGTTGATTCAGACACGTAGGGCGTTAAATCTCATTTGATTTTACACTATATGCATGACTAGTAAGCCACATTTGTATTTTAATAGCATTTTAATAGTAGTTAGGGCGCGGTTAATAAAAAAACATGAAAATTTGAAAACAGCAAAAGATCATTGAAATAATTTAAAGGCAAATTATAATCCAATCTTACACAGATATCAGAGTATGGAGTTGTTGGTTTCCACCCAGAAATCTCTTTTTTAACACAAGAATGGCGCAGCAACCCCGAGGAAGGGAATTATCCATTTGTGGCACCCTATTATTTTGAAACAGCAAGAAAGACTGCCAACGTTCCTGGAAAGATTTTTTATAGGTAAGAACTAAGAGTATGCAATGTAAGTACTTCTTCTGGCGGATATGAATAAAGAGACACTCTTGTTGCGTTGTTTTCGATTTTATTTCATGTGGCCATTGCATTCCAGAGATAAAGACGTTTTATGAATCAGCTATTTAATCTATACCAGACTATGATTAGTATAGTGTAAGTTACCCATAATATAATATTTCAGAAATATAACCGGCAATGGTTCTACTCTACATGATTTAGGAGAATACCTGAAAACCGCTGTAGTAGGTGTCGCTGTCAAAGGTTTTACGCCTGATTTGGCTGTTATAGTCACGTGGGAAAACGTCACAGATAAACAGTCATCAACCAATGACTGTCTAGATGAAGATAATAATAATATTTGTGACAAGGTATATACAAATTATCTAAAACATTAGATGATTGCTTGAGCTAGCATAGTAACATATTCTATTATTACACTTTACTCCTAGGATGATTTTCTATATAATTATCGCAATTGCTGGATTGGGAGATAAATTACGCTTTACCACGTGACAGATCCAAATGGTTTTAGCAAAAATCCTAAATATGTTTATGTTTAAAATATAATGAAACATTTGATATGTAATAATATATTCTATTTTTATATTTATAATATATAGCTGAATCGGTATTATCTCATTTCAGACTAATACATTTCAACTAGTTCTAGTTGCCGGTCAACAACAAACCTTTCTAATCTTTAATTACCATAAAATGGAAGTTCCCGTTAGAGAATTCTACCAGGTAAATGCATACGTCCCATCACCTTCAACCTAATGAAATCCAGGCTGAAGTTCTTTTCAATGGTTTTCTTTTTATAAATTGTAGCAATGTGGCATCTTTAAGCCAGGTTTGCATTTTATTGAGTCTATTGTGGATGCTAATTCCAGCGATATTTAATTGATTATAGATGTTAGGGATTTAAGTTTAGTAGTCCCGTGCTAATGCTACTCTCTACATTCGAGTGAAATAAAAACCATCAGAAAGCAAGAAATAAAATACGCATGTCTATGAGTGAAATATAAGAAGTTCACGTAAACAAAACAACAATAGTCGTGAGTCGAGATGCCCTAAACCCGGATTCAAAATGACCTGTAATGTTTCAGAAGAGATATTAAGTACGATATCAATACTATATTATGCTTTTTGTGTGTTACACATTATTTATTTTTATTTCCAACCTGTTTATGCGAATAAAATCAAAAAGGAATGACATATTCCCTGTTGAATATGTTCACAATTAGACGGTCATCAAAACTGGTCATATTTCAGAAGCAGGCACGACTTCTTCTTTTAAACGCAGGGCCGGCGGAAGCAATTCTTGATGGGGGGGGGGGCTACCATCGTAGGTCCTTAGTCGAGGGTCTAGGGGCCGTAAGGGCCCGGAAGCTCTCCGGGGTCTAGATCGCCGGAGACGCTTTCTGAGCGATTTCTATCTTATGAAGTGAATTTTTTTATTTCTTTTCTACCTCCCTTACCATGATCTATGGTGGTTTAATCCCTGCGATACTGAACTTGACATATATATACATAATAATACCAAGGTTGTGAACACTCTAGAGGTCACGGGTTTTATCCGATTTTGATGAAACTTACAATGTATGTTTATTGCCGAAAGATCTCGGTTTCTTTCGATATTGGCGCATGTGGGACCGTCACTTCCTGGATTGTGGCCCCTGATTGTACGAACAATCACATTTTAGTTTGTGGACCTTGTAGAAGTAACAGTTTTCATTTGATTGTAAAAGCCGTTCAATTATATCAGGACACATTTTTTATCCGATCTATCTCCCAAAGGTCTAGGTTCCTTTCGAAACTGGAATGTATCAACTCTGATTGGTACGAAAATCAGGTTTTTAGCTTATGAACACTCTAGAGGTCACAATTTTCATCAAATTTTGATGAAACTTGAAATGTATGTTTGGTTCCTTTCCATATTCGTGCATATCGAATGGTAACTTCCCGGATTATAGCCCCTGATTGTACGAAAAATCGCGTTTTTAGCTTGTGGTTCCCCTAGAGGTTACAAATTTTATCTGATTTAAAAGGCGTTCGAATATATCACGGTTACACCATAATTACGGTTGAGTTCGCATTTCCTGATAATCGGACCGAATTGCCCGATCTCCCATAAAAGCATGTAATACACAGGTTAGATTTTAAGGCCACCTGCAGATATCACGAGATGTAAGCAGGGCTAGCGCCAACCCTAATCCAATATCTAGCCCTTACACTAACCCACGATCCTTGGCAACAATCACGTGCCCTAATCCTGTTTACAACTCGTGGCCTTGACGAAATCTGCCGGTGGCTATAATGTTTAGATCTGACCGTAATACCCAGGTTGTAGACCATCCAGCGGTTCGAAATTTTTTATCCAATTTTGATGAAACTTAAAATATATATTTATATCCGAAACATCTGGATTCCTTTCGATTTTGGCGCGTATTGGACCGTAACGAAATATCACGTTTTTAGATTATGGGCCCTCTAGAAGTCACAATTTGTATCTTGTTTTCAAAACTGTTCAAATATACCACCGTTACACCATAATTATTTCCTCAAAATCGGACCGAAACCTCCCGTCAAGTAGCCACTCTCCTTTACGAAAATAGTATAATAAAAGCATGTTATACCCAGGTTGTGGACCATCTAGAGGTCACAATTTTATGCGATTTAGATTAAATTTAAAACGAGTATCACTACTTCTTGGGTGAGTTCAATTTTCTTAAGCATCTGCCCCTGCCTTTGACACAAATTGTGAATTATGAATGAAGTTTGTGGTCATTTCACGATGAAACTTAAACTATGTGTTAAAGATCAAAAGTTCTTGGATGAATTCGACTTTAGTAGCATCAGACCTTACATTCTAGAGCTATAGTCCCTGCTTTTCACGCAAAATTTGAAATATGTACGGACTTTAAAGCCCTGGGGGGGGGGGGGCTAACATTGTTGTCCAAATCTGATGAAACTTAAATATTTTAGGGATCAAAAGATCTTGAATGAGAGCATAACCCCTATTGATTTCACCTCTACCCCATCCATTTCTTGCAAAATGTGGGCATATCTTGCATGGCAACCGCTTGTTTTAACTGGTCATTACTGATGGCAGTGAATTATTTGATGGATAAGGGGCACAAGGAAAGAGTATAAATAAAACTCTATCCCGTCGTTTTTCTAATTACCTAATATGTCATAGACACAATGGACGTGAGATGGACTTGAAATAAAGATCGGCTGTTAAGTTATCTAATCGCGACCCTCGCAACCATGGATCGGTATAAAGCATTGCAGGATTTTCTTCTTCGGAAAGTCTACGATCTAGAAGTCTCACTTCTACTCACTTCTATGTTAAAATCAAGCCTCTTTGTTTTTACTAGATTAGTTACTTGCGTGTAATAACTTGGAGAAAAGAGTACTTGCGGCCAAATTATTGGGGGGGGGGGGGGGGGGCTTTCCCCTAGCCCCCTACTCTGCCGGGCCTGCGGGTATGCTAACAAATATATTGTTTAACTTTAGCTGTAGAAAAAGCAGAACGCCAACGCGCTCCTTGCCAGCCCCCCTCCCCCACCTCCGTCCTGCACCACTGACAAGAGGAAATCACGCGGAGAATTATTGACATGAAAATCCCATAATCAACTCTCTAGGCCACCGGAAAGGCTTTGATATCGAATGGATTAGAACCATTCGCCATTTAGTAATTTAAAGACAAAATGATAATCGAGACTATGTTTATCATCGTAGCAATGGTACTTGTCAATCGAGACTAGCATGTCAAACTTTCAAGCGCCGATTTCTCATTATCAATTATTGAACTATTATAGCACGAACGGCCAACTTTTAAGTACAATTAGTCCTAGTTGAGACACCGTAGCAACCATATACGGCATAAACGCATTCAATTAATTGTATGGGTGTACATAACTTTAATCGTGTCCGCCTGTCATCTTTGGAGCGCTGTTTTCCTAAACAACAAAACATTACATAAATTGTCGCTGTAGTTGTCTAGGTCAACTGATTATTCAATATATATTCTAATTATAAAAAAAAACATAATCAAAACCATTGAGTGATATATTATTTTTTATAAATTGAAATGGTAAAAACTTGTTAAAATCATATATATGTATATATATGTATTTATTTATTTGAATTTATAAGATATGTAACTAACACTCTTCAATAGTTTTATCAATTGAAATATTTAAAAGGTAACAATAGATAAATATGTTCTAGTTTTGTGTCAAATCAAATTAACACCATTCAATAGTTTTATCAATTGAAATGTTTATAAAGGTAACAATAAATAAATCTGTTCCGATTTTGTGTTAAATCAAAGCGCCTGCATGCTAGAATAAAGGTTTAATATTTCGCTTAAGCGTACTATTTTATTACCATTTAAAGTTTACATTGGTTTAGATAGTTTTACACAACTATCTTTATGGGTTTTAGAGAAATAAAGTACTAATAATTCTGCTATCTTTTTTTTTGTGCATTCTTTTTAGGGTTTCACACTGCGTAGCTTGTGTGAAACACTATTGTTTTTGTTCGGATTATTATTCTTATTATTCTTTTTTTTTTCCATTTTAATCATATCTCAGAAACTACTTGTCGGATTGGTCCAATTTCTTCGGTTTTGCTGGGGAAGTGGGTGTGACTTAAAGCTATTTCGAACGTTCTGTGACGATCCGAAATGTCCGAAATCACCGAAGTTGTCGTTTTTTAAAATAATAACGTAATATTAACAACAATCGATGGATTTTAACGTTTGATAGATTTTGACATAGCCAGAGACATGGCACATAGCTACGGTTCTTTAGATTTTTGAATTTTGACGAATCTTCGGAAATATTAGGCGCCAAATTTTGAAAACTTAAATTTTGACAAAAAACTTTTTTATTAATGAATATTATTAAAATAAAAATAGTAAAGAACACGCCCGCTGATGGACCCAATCTCTTTTTTTTTGTCTTAACCTGATTTAGGCTGGGATGAATGGAGGTTTAAACGTTGGATGGAAAGATGTTTATTGTGAATCAAACTGCATCAGCACCCCAGATTTCTCAATGTTTCCAGATATAATGGCCAGTGACATCAAAGGAAGATTTATCTATAAGGTTTCTGATGACGTCATTATTAGGGGTGGCTGTTTGCCTTCCGATGATGGTAAGCGATGTTAGTTATTTAGAAGATAGATATATATATATATATAACTTTGGAAGTTTAGTATAACCGTTCACCAATAATTTAAAGGCCCATTGCACACCAACCAATATTTATCGTATTCCCACACGTACAATTTATTCACTATAAGATTACATTATTCTAGTCACAAAATAGGCATGAAACATTATTTCTTTTCTCGAAAAAGCGGCTAAAGTCGCGGATTTGTCCTCGGCAAACTCAAATTTGGGATTATATCTAAGTTAGGGAGAATAAAAATTTGAACTATGGGCCTTTTTGTTTTAATGCGGTTTTTTTTAAAAAAATAAACAAAAACAAAACCCCAAAATAAGATTAAAACAAAAGGAGCCCCTAAAACTACAGTTTTACAGTCCATGAATCGCAATTGCTTTGTATTATTATTTTTGTTTCACAAAATAGTGATGTTAATAATTATGTTTTCCAGGACAGTTAGAAGTTTCTCCGCAATATGTCAGCGCGTTTGGTGGCCACATTGTAGATGTGTCAGGAGTATGCGTCACCAATACGTCCAAGGTAACATGTAAATTTGGTGCCGTTGATCCGGTAGAAGCTGTTTATGCAAGTTCCATGTTTGTAAGATGTCTAACACCTAGATTAACGGCTAGGGACTTGGTGACATTAATGATTACGGTCGATGATTCAACAGTATTACGCAAAGATATACATGCCGGTAAGTCCAATCAGAAAGGCTCGGCACAAGTTCTATAAAAGCCGTTTAACCGCTCCGGCGTTGGTCTTAAATGTGCATTGCCATGTTTGATGCTATTTGACTAAAGATTTCGAGCTTATCTCGATGACCTGTAAATTTCGTTTCTATGGGCTAAATAATTAATAATATGTGCATACTTAAAACTGATTCAGACAAATATTGCTGGATAATCGAAGATATGTTCGTTTTCTTCCCGTAGACAAATTTTGAATCTAAAAGGTGAAAGAGTTGGTTAACTCGATTATGCCAATATTGTAAATGGCGATGTTTCCTTTTAATAGACATCTGAAAACTCTTATAACAATCTTTGTGTATTTATCTTATAAAAATATTTTTTCCTACAGTACTACCTTTCCAATCAACTCAGTTGGACCATATTGTCTTATCACCTGGTTGGGATAAAACTGATGTACAGAAATTAAACCTTACCTGGGATTATAAAGTTTTCTCTGAGAACCCGGCAGCAACTGTTGATATACTGCTCATTGGTTACAGAGAAACGGAGACGCAGGTAGTGTAACACCACATTGATTGGTTTTTAGGACGACCCATCAATTCGGTTGTAGATCTATGTCACCAACGTTATCGAAAGAGTCCATATTATTTGTTTTTCATTTTTCACTTACTAAAACGAAATCCTAAATTATTAACAAAAGGACATAACGTTATCGAAAGAGTCCATATTATTTGTTTTTCATTTTTCGCTTACTAAAACGAAATCCTAAATTATTAACAAAAGGACATAAAAGTGACTAAGAAACTATTCTAAAGCTTAACTGTGTCTCAAAGTTTAAAAGTCGTCCTCTCAAATCAGCATTAAGGTTGGTTCAGTGAGTAGGACGGTGGCCCACTAGCTTGGAGGTCCCGTGTTCGGTCCCTGCGTTGGCCGAGAGTTAATCGGGATTTTCTAGCGTGGTGCCCCCTTGTCAGTGGTTTAGAACGGAGGCCTGAAGAGACAACGTGTTGTCGTTTGGGTGGGACGAAAAACCGTGGTCCTGCCTACACATTGGCCTTCGCGTAAAAACATCATACGAGTAGGGCATAGCGCCGCTGTCCGGGCAACGATACACTATGGTCTTGAGGACCAAAGTACTACATTCGCGGAGAAAGTTCATCAGGATTTTCGACGTGGTTTCCCCTTGTCAATAGTGTAGGACGCAGGGCCTGAAAAGGACAGCTGTCTAGTCGTTCGCATGGGACCAACAACCGATTTGGCAGTTGTAATTCGATATAAGAGTAGGTCATAGTGCCGTTGCCCGTGCAAAATTACCCTCATTGCACACTAAATAACGTATACCGGTCTTCACTAGCTCTACTGAAGCAGAGCAGTAGGACCTTAAACCCCATTTCATTTCATATCAAATTAGGATTAAAAACAGTAGGCTAGTTTGAAAGGGTTAGTTCCCTTTTATCCAGCCCTGTGCACAACGACTGGGTTAAATCATTTGAAGCGATTAAAGATTCTGTCCGTCATGTTTTCTAGTAGTATGACTTACTAGTCTCTAACTTTCAAAGCTTTTTGTTGGCCACTTGTCTTCTCCAAATTGTTACCACAGATCAGCTTTATGAAATTGATATATTTGTTTGTCGCTTATTAAACTGCTCAGCCATCATATTTAGGACCAGCACTCATTTAATGTAATATAATAAGGCATTTATATAGTTCGTTGAATGCAAAGACATACAGTGGCTCGAACTTTATAACCATGAAAACAGACATAATGGTAATATCTTGAGAAAAATGCAAATTGATATACACTTATGTCAAAAATGATAATGGTTTGTACTTGCCGGTGCAATATTAGGTACAAATCGCGTAATTATAGGACTTTATACATATAAATTATGTGTACTGTTTTATAATGCAAAACCACTTAATTGTTGTTCGATCAATTTTAGTTTCAGAATTATCATTACAGCTATATCTTCTCTTTTCAGATGATTTTTAAAATCTTGGCTACTCTCGGAGCAAATGTTAAAATTTCTGACGGTGGTTTCGAATTTAACACATCTGACCACCGTTGTTCTGTAGAGGATTGTAAATTATTTGAACAGGGAATGGTAGAAGTACGATTAAACATTAAACACTGGAACCCCGCAACCAAATATGGGTAAGATTTTACCTAAACTGTATATCATGCACTTTATGGCGCCAGGTGTTTCCTAAAGTCACGGTACTGTTCTGGGGACTATAAGAACAGTTTACCTAGTGCCGGTTTTTACCGATAGAATATTACATTTAAGCTGAACGGTAGAATGAAGGAAGTAGAAGTTTCTTCCAGATATTATCGCTCCCCTTTCTTTTGGGCTCTAGATTGTATTGTTTTATACCACTTCAGGGCGATGTTTATCATCGTAATGAATAGCTTGGATATTTTAGAACGGCAATAAGATTAAGGTGATGTATATACATATAATTAAATATTCAATGTTCAGTATATCTATCTAAGAATGACATTTATGTTATTTTATAATGGTACACTATCTTGAAATGGTTTATATTATATCATTTGGAGTTGGAGAACGAAAACGAAAAAAAAATATGCCTGCCCTTTGAGGAACACGAGACATAAAATCTGTTCAGAGCTACAACCCCCTTTGCTTCTACCAGCTTTTAATGTCATTCTATACTTTAATTTCAATTTCGAGTTAATCAGTTATTTTATTCATGGATGTAGTACCAGAGGCGCTTTACGAATATCTCCGAAATAATTTGAATGAAAAGTGATTAAAATCTATATTATAGCCAATATAGTAACGAAATTCCCTTAACACTGATATTTTCATCTATTCCTTTTCGATTTCCAACTGTCAAGGGTTTTATTTTCGTGCATATACGGGTGGCCGAGTTATCCGACAGACACAATATACATGTCAGTCCCACTAAGTAATAAAGATAGTTCTCCTCGACCCAAATTCGAACTTCGAACTTGCATAGTCATTTCACGAAGTCCTGTTCCCTGACTACTAGAACACCAAGGCCCGCATATACAATGGTAACCTGTGTACGAATAAGGTCCCGATTCATGTAATGATAAAAACAAATATTTAGTCAAAGTCGTGGTTGTCAAATCTTTATTTTTTTTGTTGGTAGATTTGTCGGCTCTGGGGTATTTCCTATAGGATGGCATGTCGTCGAATATATGAAATCAACACACGGTCCCGACTGGTCTAAAGTTTTATGTACGAACTGGTATGATAGGGATCGCCAGGAAATGGCCTGGTTAGAAGAGTTGCTGGATTGCCCCTGTACTCTGGATCAAGCTTTAACAGATTTTGGAAGATGGCTAACTGATGGCGGATGTAATATATATAATGGAAGTGTCTGTACTTACCATATTGGTGCCGTTCATTGTGTTCGATCTTTCAGACCAAGGTAAATTATCTTTTACATAATATGGATAATTCTAAATTCGCATGGGCATAGTTTCCAGTGCATATAAAATATGTCAAAGAAATTATTCCGCTAGGATCACGTTTAGACAAAAATCATTTTCAAAGATTGATTTAGCATAGAAAATTTACCGACTGTTTAGAATTAGATGAGCATATAGTTCATCTATTATGACGATTAAATTGATTGGATTTGGCCAAAGATTTTGCTGTTGAAATGTATTAATTTTATTTATGTCAAAAGCTATCAAAAATATTACTTCGTTACTTGGTTACATCACATGGCCACCAATTTCTGATAGGATTCGAATTGTATACGGGTACTTGGTCGGTGATCGTGGCTATATTAAAGATAGGTTCCCAGAAAAGTATTTATCGGGAGGTTATTTCCATGAAAAGTATGGCAATTGGTATATCTGGGAAGTAGAGATATCCAATCTTATTAGAAAAATACTGGATTCCCTGAAAAACACCCATGGAGCCGTATACAGGACAAAAATGTCAGGGTTCCCCTAATCTACAGCCCGACGATTAGGAATATCTGCACGCGTGACGTCATGTTGATAAACTTTATGAAGAGTTAGACGTACAACACTTTCTGAGATAAAAATCACAGAAAATGACGCGGGCAGTGGATAATCAGAGAATTTAATTAGGATTCGATATTTGTAATAAATAGTCAGCGATTAAAGACAACACCATCTTGTGTATGCAACGAATTCTGCTCCGACTTCGCACCCGTAAGTCAAGTGACACAAACATGACCTCTTGACAATTACAATGTTTTGAGAAGGATTTGAAGCAAATTTATGATAAATTAATTAGTTTGAATATGTTTTTAAGCCAAATATATCACCAAATCTCCCGTTTGTACACGGAAATGTATCTTTAATCAGCATTTAAAATCAAAATTATCGCTGGTGCACGATTTGGCTTAGTATTTCTGCGTAATACACAAGGGGTTCATTAATCGCCTTTAACAATCACGTATCTCTTTTTTAAAAAAATGTTAGGATTCTTCTTGAAAAAACAAATAAATGATATGTAATATAAACATGACCTTTAAAATGGTTACAAATAATCTTTGATGTGGATTCGGAAATTTTGAACGATGAATTACACTATCGAATCTCATTATCTCGACTTCTTAAACTCGAGGACCATATGGTATATCTCGAGGAAATCTGTTGATCCCCGTCAAATTATTTGTATTAACTTTCTATTTTCACAGCAAGTCCGGAGCTGGTAATCAGTGTTGCTATGGACCAGATGGTAATGTCAGATATGCTGCGGATTCCTTCCAGGGATCAACTCCGGATCGAGGTCATGACTGGGGAGCACCACCTTACAATAAACCTGGTTATGTACCGTCTTTATCTCACTGGAAACATGATGTTGTTACTTTTTATTATTGTTGTTTATGGGTTGATTATAAATATTGTGATAATTATATGGACCAAAGAGCCACCAGGGATTGTAAAAATTATCAACCCCCCAAAACAGGTAGATAAGTAGGTTTTTTTTTTATTGAAGAACAATGATTATTTGAAATATTTCTCAGTTTTTGGGATATTTTATTCATTTACTCCTATTTTATTTTAAACAGTGGAAGATATAAATATATAGAACTCGAATATATTATATGAATTTAATGCATTTTTGTCAATAAATGTGACACATGTTTCAAGGGCAGTGTAGCGAGAGATGACTCATCTCCGAAAATGCAAGTATTTTTCAGTTTCTTTCAAATTTCAGCTATTATTTATGGTGACCCACATGTGAGAACATTTGCCAACTTCCCATATGTAGTAGTTGGCAGGGGAGACTACTGGTTAACAAAAACTGCCGACTTTCAGTTGCAGGGAAGATTCGATCAAAGTAAGTTACACTTTAGCTCAATTATTATTCGGATTTTTGGGGTTTAATGCGCGCAATGTCATGGAATTCATTATACATTAAAACCTTACAGATACATGTACTATGCAATCCACCCATTTGTAATCTAACCCCACCCTTCCAATATCATTAAGTGTTATTTAGTGTTCTATGATTTCAGTCAACAGAACATTGGTTTCTACAACAGCTTTGGTAGGAGTTGTGTTACAAGGTACGGGCAGTTCTAAAGTTGAAATACAGCTTGCCCCATCTACTTATACCAGTCCACGGGTACTGACAATATTAGTAGATCAACAGATTACATGGTTTAATACGCTAGAGAGAAGCAGACAAGATTTAAAAGGTAAAATAACGAATCCTACTGCTTTTCCAATGATTTGAAATAATTCGGGTTATTCCTTTGACTTTGTGGAATTATAGAGTGTTCATGCATGTAAGCCAAGAAACCCATAATGTCAGATATACTGTTATACGCAGTGTTTGTTTTCATGAGACGCTGAATCCTATTGATTTTCAATAACTTCCGATAATTACTGTCGAGGTCATCACTTTGAAAACACACGTGGAAGCTCTAATATGTATCAGTTATCACCTGTTTTTGACCATGAAACTTAATGATTTTTAATGATTTCTGATAAAACGAATAGCTATAGATATGGCAATCTTTATGGACTTTATGGTGTTGTGGGTGTGAGTTTCATTGCCTATCTTTACAAACGGTATCTAGCTCTTGTCCCCTCGCCATTAGTGGCTACGATGTATGTGTGGTTAGAAAACTTGACGGCAACCAGTTGCCTCGGGTTCGAATCCCGATTTGGACCAAGAATTGGTGTTGTGGGTTTCATTGCCTATCTTTACAAACGGTATATAGCTCTTGCCCCCTTGGCATTAGTGGCCGCAGATTATGTGTGGTTAGAAAACTGGACGACAACCAGTTGTCTTGGGTTAGAATCATTTTCGGTTCAAGGGTTCTGTCTGTGGGGCTAACATGGTAATGAGCGTAAAGCTGTCGACCGAGAAACCTAACCCATTCTAACCTTTCCATCATATTAACTGGATTTGATTGATTGATCTGTAGTTTAACAAAATCATTTTCAGGATTAACTATAATAAACTATGAATCACGGGCAGGTAAACACGACAATTTTACTATAATAATGACGAATGGTATTGGTGTACAGGTTGTAGCTGTAAATAATCTACTACACGCAACAGTTGTTGTACCACAAGCCTACAAGGTTAGTCCATTTTATACAATTGGAATTGAGTCGTAAGTAAATTCAGTACATTATTGACGCTTACAACACTTTGTATTATAGCAATAATCCTTTGTATATTATACACTTTGTATATTTTATCCGTTGTATATTACAATCTTTGTATATTATACTTTTTTTGTCGATTGCTGCATGTAATGTCGACATTGGTTCTAAAGGGAGCAGTACCATATTTCACAAGTGGCTCGATTGCTTGATTATGTAAAACAAATACCACCATGCAAAAAAAACCATAGCTTTTTAGCGTGTGAAAAGCTTCCAACGCAAAATGTTGAGTCGTTCGGAATTGATCGCCAAAATTGCTTAACCGATATAGTAACCAATGAGTTGTGGCTTATTGTTTTCGTTTATTCAGTGACACGATGAAGGAGCGTCTTTTAAGTACGCCAACAATCCCACATGGCATCGAATCTTTATATTTCTCCGAACACATACATCTGAGTGGACTTTTTAATGCCGGTATCTTTTTTTTTTGCCACAGAACCAAACAGAAGGATTACTTGGGACATGGTCAGATATAGAAATGGATGGTGTGAGAAACAGGAATGGGCAACTAATACCGATACAGACGTCGTCAACCAAACATATCTATGAAAATTTAATTACGTCTTGTAAGAATATTTGTTTTTATTCACATCATGTATACCCTTAAGAAAGTTTAAATGATCCTCTTTTAAGAATAGTTTGGTGTGGTATCTGTTGTGTGCAACCCAAAGACATTGGGAATCAAATTAATAGAGGTCTTACCCAAACCTACATTTTTTAAATTATGCTCCCATTTACAATTACCAAGATCGAGTGCGGGAACTCCTCGTCAGTGTGCCAACGCCTTATTTGCTGAGCCACACGCCCACATGTTTTCGCCACCACTATCCGCCCATATTTCAGTGTATCCACATTACTTGAAAACATTTGACTGGCTAAACCCGGGTTGTTCGAGAATCCCTACCGAAATTCAGAGTCGCTCAATGTTTCTCAGAGTTACTGATCCTGTCGGCGTAAACTTATAAACGCTCTACAGGTAAAATTATTTTATTCAACTTATGGGATTGTTAAGCTAATTCTTAAGAGGATTCGTGTCGAAATCCAGGGTCGTACAATAAGTTTTCGCATGGTTAACGTCCCTGTTCTGTGGCATTGTTTGGCGACGATTGATCGACGTATTCATCAGGAGGAGCCCTATCGAATTTCAGACTTGTCAATCAAATTTATTGTCGCCGAAAACTTTAAAGTTACCCTTCCAATCTGGAGGTGCCCCGCTGAATACTTTAACGTCACCCTTCCAGTGCTGGTGGTGGGTGTATGCCTAGATACACTATGTAAATCAGTTGTGACTCCAGTTTCAATCATGAATAGTTTATATGGTTGGAATTATTTTCTTACATTTAGGGTCAGTCAACGCTACAGAACGTCTTTTTCAATACCCAGCTATGGAAAATACGGGCTTTGCTCCTTTATTTTTATTTCCGCCACTTCCTATCAGCATAACCTTAGATGAAATCAACGAATTGTGCGGTTCAGAGATGTCTAACTCTTCATGTCACTATGACTACATAGCTACTGGTAGTTCAGATATTGCCAATGCCACGTTGCAGGCAGAAACTTGGTTTAAAACAGTTCAAGGCTTTCAAGTACCAGGTAATGTTAATATATATCGTGTATTATATCTAACCCCTTCCCGTCTATGGCGATTATGAGGGCTAATAAGGGTTAAAGCGATAAGATCCTGCTTTTTTGTCACCCTTTTCCTAACCTATATATTGACTGAAAGGGTTGTTATTTATCTTCCAACTTTGTACAGCTTGTGTCAGATACATTATCATCTATTGTAATGATTTAAGAAAAATTAAAAAATATCGATACTAGCTGTAGGTTTATTGATTTGTACGCTGGACACAATTCTTTGAAAAAAATAATTACTAACTGCCACTGAAATAATTTAGATAAATATGTTGCAGAAATTTTGGAGAGATACATGATTCACCTTTAAAACAGTGTATAATTTAAGATAAAATACCCCAGAACTGCAGAAACTATCAAAATAAAAAGCAGATTGAAAAAAATATTTTAGATTTAAATGTCAAATGTTTTAATTGACTGAAGTATTAATATAAACAAGCAAGGCTGATGCAATTGAGTATTATTAGCCCGGTATGTCTTTTTTTTGCTAGTGGAAACTTGTGGTTTACTGGATGTACCAAGAAGTATCAAGAATAATTATAACTATGGTATTGGTAGTAAAATAAATATAGATGGTTGTAGAAAGGGCTACTTAACAGGGGAGGCCACTTCATACACATGTACTAGGAAAGGAAACAACACTAATGTTTGGGAACCAGAAATAAGCGCCGTGTGTAAAGGTAAACTATGGATTTTGAAATCAACATCCAAATTATCTCTCCTCTTTTGGAGTTATCGTACACGGGACAGGGTATGCTTACTCTTTTTAGGCCACCTGATGCTACTGGCTACTGGCAGAACTATGATATTTTGGTATTCAAAACATCTCTTATGCGCATATTGATTGGCTTTGCTCTTGATCTTCAGGGGCGTGTTAATTTTGATAAAAATTCGAACCATCTTTGTTGGGCCGTTTAAGAAACTGTGCATTAGTAAGCAATTCAAGTTTCCTGTTGTCAGCTAAATTGTAAATATTTGAGCATCTTATTTTGACAATTCCTTTGATGCATCCATCGGTTTTGTAGCTAAAGGGAGCAAACGAATTTTGAACGTTTGTTTTGTTTACATTTTTCAAAATTATAGCCAATATATGAGCATATTGACATGAATTATACATGCATACACGCATGGCAAAACACAGTTTGGTTTACTGAATCAAAGATAATTATAAATTGTATCACGTGACAAAGGGTGTCATTTTACTTGAATATGTCCCTCCCGTCAAATTTTTATACCACATTCTCTATGATAAATAGACATGAAGTACTTCACATATACACCCCACCCCAAGTAAAGGACATCAAACGTGGCTAAATTAGCTAATGGGTTTGATTTGGATAATTGTTATCTTTTTTTTACATTTTGTATATATGATTAGTTTATAATCCCGTCTTATTTCAGCACCAACACAACCACCGCCTTGTCCAGGTGGACCTACAGGTACGATACATATTTTATCATAGGACTCGACTTTAAATTGTTACAGCTTTGGTTTAATTAATCTTGCTTAATGGAGTTGAATGTGTTACAAATAAACGAACCGAATCGTCTGAAATATGATGAGCTCTGCTAAAACTGTAATATATTTGCATGGTTAAAATTGTCTGGAGTAGAAATTGGACATGCATGAGGAATAGCTACGTTTCTGTCATAAATTTCTGTATATTATTTTTTTTTTATTAATATGAAAATACTAAACTAGTTATTTCATATATTGTATTTCAGGTGCTGGATCTTCACCGAAAATTACCAGTCTTTTAGCCATTTTTATTTCCATATGCTATTTAGTTTTATAAAACCTCACATTATGTTATATTTTCGGTATTAGTGTTTCTATTAGTAGTATTAGATTAGATTATTAAAGCATTTTCAGTTTTATTAGATTAGATTATTAAAACACTTTTAGTTGTATTGTATTAGATTATTAAAACATATTAATTTTGTATTGTATTAGATTATTAACGCATTTTCAGTTGTATTGCATTTGATTAATAATGCATTTTCAGTTGTATTAGATTGGATTATTAAAGCATTTTCAGTTCTTTTAGATTATTAATGCATTTTCAGTTGTATCAGATTATATTATTAAGCATTTCAGTTGTATTAGATTGGATTATAAAAGCATTTTCAGTTGTATTGTATTAGATTATTAACGCATTTTCAGTTGTATTACATTAGATTGTTAACGCATCTTAAGTCAGAACATTATGTGAAATGAAATGGGTTTTACCGTCCTACCTTTCTGCACCAACCGTGATAACGTCAAGCAGTGTGCTATGAGAATGACCCCAGGAAAAGTTCATATTAAGTCCTTTTTGATAATATTAACCAATAATTTATCTACGTTTTGTAGAAAATGTATAAATAATTCTACGTTTAGTGTACGTTAAAAGAAGAGCAGGCTAGATGATTGACATATAGTTAAAACGTTAAATATATGTACCATTTTAATGTAAAGACTGTTGTTATAAGCCCATCTGACTATAAAAAGATCGACCAACCTATTTCTACTTACGGACCCCTTTGGACAATTTACATATCTCCGAAGATCCCGCATCTTCATTTACTTAGTTCAGCCAGATTTCCCATGTTAGGGGTGTTAGAACTTTAAACATAAATCTAAAACGGACCATCTTTATCTGAAAAATGAAAAAATGACAAAAATGTGCATGAAACAATATGTAATATTATGCACTCTTGTTGGTCCATAATTCACATAAATATTACAATGTATAGGGGGGGGGATACAAGATCCCCAAAAGGGGTGGCGGGTATGCAACCAATGTTTGCTGAGGTTACCGAGGAAACAAAATACCAAGGGAACAGTTTATGACATTCTTATTTAAGTTTCATAATGGTCACACAGATTTTCTGACGTTGAAAGACATCCGATCGGAGCGAGTTAATTAAATTTATTCTAACTCTTTGACGCTTGATACATATAAATATACTTCACTTTTTTATACACACATATTTTCATGTGGCCGTATTATGTCGTCGTACCGGTACGTCCGTCCAGACGTCTGTATGCCTTGACGTACGTTCACATGTTTTGTGAACACTCTGAGAGGAGGTAACGGACCGTAACTTCTTGGGCTTTTGCCCCTGATTATACGAAAATCCCCTACATAGCACGTGGGCCCGCTAGAGGACACAATTTGCATTCGATTTTGATTTATTAGCGTTGAAATATATGTGAATTACACAAAAATTTGTTTATTACACAAAAATCGCGGATGAGATCAATGATGGTGGCAATCGCTAAATTCCCCTCCCCCTTTCCCGCCCCCACCCGACCAAACCCCCACTTGAAACACTTCACACAAATAGTGGCAAAGCATATATATGGGGGCTATTGGTTTATAGCCCCTGCCTTTTATGTGAAATGTGTACCATGTTTGTGATTTTTTGTGGACACTTTATAATTACAGACCACACATTTTCTTAGATTTTAAAATATTCAGATTTCACATCGAATATGAAACTAAATAATAGGGCTTATCATGCCTCATGTTGTGTGTTTCTTTCTGACACTTCATTTTAGTAGTGATCCGAGATGGTGGTTTTGATTGCTAATTTAGAGTCAGTTTATATCGTGTAGGAGGACCATTATAGATTATTATAGATCCAACAGGCAGAAAATATTATTTGAATTTTATTACCAAAATCGACATTAAATGGATACTTAATATTCGACTTCAAGTCTCCCAATGATGATTAGCAGCAACATATCGAAATCGACAGTGTCTGGAAGGTATTCGGAAACTTGAGCACAATAACAGGAGCAGAACAATTTACCCAGTGGTAACAAATACCACCCAATGCTACCATATAATACCTCATTATTGTGTAAAACTAACATAATACTTCAATTGTATATATAAAAAAAGTTAATTCGTGGAAAACGCGCAAAAAGGGTACGGCAAGTGTGATTGTCGACGACTCGCTATTCTCGTTATCTCCTTTGATCGATACTTACAAATATTAATCCATGCTATCAAAAATCCATTTATTTCTGTAACATATTAGGTCAATACTATCAAATTGAATAACAACAACACGTTTGTTTGTGGAACATAATTTATTTGTTCAATGTTTACTCTTTCATCACTGATAGTATGAACAGTATTCCAAGTTTTTGTACTTTTATAGGAGCTACTCATTGATATTGATTGACGAAGGGCTGATTTTATTGGACCTTCTTGACTCAAGGTATACGTTGTCATTTTAACTTTAATAATATTTCAGGCGATGAACTCTACCCTTCGACCATGGAATCTATTTATGTTTTTCTTATCGATGATTTCATTTATTGCCGTAACAACAGGGGACCTTTAGATAAAAAGATAAGCGAAGTTTCATAGTTAATCGTACAAAGTCAGTAGTATGGAAGGCGACAAACACCTGTGGTTAATATTGGTCTTGGTAACAAATGTTCTGTGTGATGTATTACCCTTTAGGAATACATCCTTACCATGGGATCAACGAGTTGATGATCTTGTAGGTCGTTTGACCTTGAAGGAATTGGCAGGCCAGATGGGTGGTGGTAGGGATTCACTTTATATTTCGAATATTTATGTAATGTTATGAAGTCTGGTGAAGTACTGTACTAGTTTTGCTATAAAGTTATTATTAATGTACGACGAAAGGTATGTTTCCTTTTAATAATTGCATTGGTTCTGTATCTGGGGTTGAGAACAATGAACATGGGGTGTATTGTTTACTTGACCACTTTCTATAAGTCATTGTTATTGAATTTGCCCATTTGCACCGGGCTCTTATGCGTGTATGGTAATTTTCATTATAACCTTATTATCAAAAACCAATATGGTTTTACCAGATTTCCAAGGCTAACCGTTAAGCAAAGTAAGCAATTGCTTCGGACATTAAGGAAAATGGAGAGAATGGTACAGCTGAACAAGAGTCTACTTAAAGGGAGCCCACCATAAATTATATTTTTTACAATTTAGCAGCATTTTTATTTTCAATTACATACATGGGGGAGGGGGGGATAATCTTGTCAGTATTTATGACCTCTGAAGGTCTTAATACGTCCTTGAGTTGTCCCTAAAATTTGGAAGCTATTCGGTTAATTGCAAGCATGTAAACGGACGTGCCTTCAAAAATTAATAATTAAAGTGAGATTCGAGCTCTTACTCACGATTTTCTTCCCATAATCACCAACAATACGGACAGAGCTTGACATCTAGGGCTCATACATTATCTTCCATGAATGTTACTTTCTGGATTTAAATCTGATGGGAGATTGAGGAAAGGCATTGGTCCGTTGCATATATTATGTTGATTTTTGTATCCCAGTGAAGATGGTCTGTGGATTCAATAAACTGATTTATCATGGATGACGCACTCCCTCATTTGATAGCAATTTTGAACATATTTTTTGGATAGGACACAGGACGCCATCAATAAACCGACTTGGTATCAAACCATACGGATTTGAAACCGAGTGTTTACGGGGTGACGTTAAAGCTGGTCCCGCTACTGGGTTTTCTGAATCAATTGGTCTGGCTGCTGCTTTTAGGTAATAACACTTTAATTATCAGTACATTTTGATAAACCTCTAAGTACTGAGCGGTCTAAAGCATTGGGCATGATAACAATGTGACAGTGACGTCTACTAGCCGATTGCAGGTTAAGTTCAAGTGTGGCTGAACTGCCAATATGTTGTTCTCAACCCAGTTCAATAAATTTAATGAATTAATAAAATACATAATAAATAGAATATTTAGTGAGAGAGAGAGAGAGAGAGAGGGAGGGAGAGAGAGAAAGAGAGAGAGGGAAGAGAGAGAGAGAGAGTTTAGCGTCCACTCGACACAGACTAGGTCATTTCAGGACTAACATATGGTTTAATTTTATTTCAATAATTCGCTTGCGCGTAGTGGTCTTTAGCAGTGGGATGAAACCGGAGGACCCGGACAAAACCCACGAGGTTGGACAGGGAACCCTACTCCTTGTCACGTACAACCGGGCATTCGAAACCACGACAGTTGACTCAATGACAGGCCTCGTGATACAACGCGCGCGTGCTAACCATTCGGCCATCCAACTCCCCAAGAATATTTAGAATACATTTTTTACGGACGTTGAATTCAAAGATTTACCATTGCTACGCCTTCTTCTTACAGCACTGAAGTAATTTTCAAAGTTTCCAGGGCTACAGGAATAGAAGTTCGTGCGAAAAATAACGATTATACACGTCATGGTATTTTTGAACCTCACAAGGGATTAAGTTGTTTCAGTCCTGTAATAAATATCATGCGAGATGCCAGATGGGGAAGAAATCAAGTGAGGACATTTTGTTTGATATTTATATAGATAAGAAATCAACCGAAGGTCATTACACACCGTCGGAAAAGATTTTAAAACAAGCTAATGGCACGTGAGCAGCTTTTCTTTCTTTTCGCTATTAATAAAATTAAAAAATTTGAATACTAAATGACATAAATTGGGGTTTGACGTCTTACATTTCTGCACCAACCGGAAAAATTAATACGGACATCGTCAAGCAGTGTTTTATGAGAATGACCCCGGGAAAAGTTCATATTTTGTCCTTTTTGATAATATTAACCAATAATTTATCTACGTTTTGTAGAAAATGTATAAATAATTCTACGTTTAGTGTACGTTAAAAGAAGAGCAGGCTAGATGATTGACATATAGTTAAAACGTTAAATATATGTACCATTTTAATGTAAAGACTGTTGTTATAAGCCCATCTGACTATAAAAAGATCGACCAACCTATTTCTACTTACGGACCCCTTTGGACATTTTGACTATCTCCGAGAACATTTCTGCACCAACCGAGAAAATGAAGAATGGCACACGCCATATCGTCTGCTATATGGGGGAATTTAAATGCTGCCAATGGTATAAAAAGCAGCTCGTTTTTTCGTCTCATTTCGGTCAACACGGGGTTTGAAACCAGGATATTCTGGTTAATGAGCCAGCTACATACTCACCGAAGTGAATAAAAATTTGTTAGCTATTATCAAGGACAAATTTTAAGGAATACAGCATTTCAATTTCTACAGGAAACCTATGGAGAAGACCCGTATTTAAGTGGTGCATATGCAGCAGCCTTTGTAAATGGTTTACAGGGAAATGACGCGAGGTATCTTCTCACTAATGCTGGCTGTAAACATTTTGATGCTTATGCTGGACCAGAAGACATTCCCATTTCTAGACACCAGTTTAATGCTCAGGTAGAGAACATTGTCGTACTATCACGGGTGTTTGTAATTGGTCGAACTATTAAACCCAGGGCCATAATTTAAAGATGCATTATGTGAGATTTAGATAAAGAGCTGGCGATTCAAAAATAGATAATGCTAAATGGATATATTGAAAATTTTATTCAAATTACTATATTCAAAGATAGCCTTTGAAGGTTTTACAAGATCTGTGCACTGATTGTAACCACTATTTTTAGATTAAATCATTAAATGGCTGAACCTTTCTAATCTACTTAAAATCGGATCCGTCTGATGGCATCGAAACTTGATTATGTTAATAAATGTCTAATTAATAATTTAGATAACATTTCAGGCCAAAAGAAAAACTTGCAATATCCAGATTTAGCTCTTGCATAAAGTTTTCATAATGGATCACTACCCATAATTCACGTCATACAGATAATCGATCGAATTACCCATAAGCCAAGTCATATACCTTTGTTAATAGATGGAACTACCCAAAAGTCACGTCATATACATTGGATAATCGATCGAACTACGCATAAATCATGTTATATAATTCCATAATCGATCGAACGATCCATAATACACGTCATATACTTTCGAAAATCGATCGAACTACCCATAAGTCACGGCATATACTTTCGATAATCGATCAAACTACCCTTGACTTAAGTCATGTACTTTTATAACGTATTAAAACACGCGATTAAAATGATATCAGTATTTTCCAGTTGACGTTAAAAGTTGCAAATTAATTCTTAAGTTGAACAAAATAGAATTTTATGAGTCCTGAAAAGGGATACATTTAAAAGGTGGTTTCAGTATCAACTGTATTAATTTTAGGTTAGTGAGAGAGATTTGAGAACAACATTTTTACCAGCTTTTAGACAATGTGTTAAAGCAGGAACATATAATCTAATGTGTAGCTATAACAGGTAAGGACTTATTTGACAATCTGTTGTTTTCATTGATTTACCTCCACTCGTTGGCACCTACCGAAACCAAGAACTATCAGAATAACGTCTCTGTTTGTCTCTCTGTGGGTTTTAGTAGTTAAACGAATTGATATTCACTATTATGATTTCTTGAATACAGGAAAGCATTTTATCGTAATTTCCACTAAATTCCAAACTTTAAACTGTAATGTCAGAAACTATGACTACCGTGGATTTTTATTAATTTTTGTATTTAATGTATTTCAGTGTTAATGGCATACCAGCATGTGCTAATAAAGAACTGTTAACAGATATATTAAGAACAGAATGGGGTTTTCAGGGTTATGTTGTTAGTGACCGAGGTGCTATAGAAAATGTAGTGTATGATCATAAATATATCAACAATAGTATTGATGCTGTAGCTGCATGTGTCAATGCCGGGTGTAATTTGGAACTAGCTACAAGCGATTACAAACCAATTTATAATTCTCTTGGTATTATAAAGTTTATTCCAGATTAATATTAAAATTTTACAATAAACAAATAGTAAAATTGAGAATAATCAGAAATCACGGTATCTATAATTTAAGATGACAATTCTAATTTTGGAGATTGTTCTATTTCAAATGTGTTCTGTGACTTAATTTTAAATATATGTTCATTCGACATTTTTTTATGACCTAGAAAAGTAAGACGAAAATCGAATAAAACTGGATTAAAAAAGGAACGAAGTCCTTTTCCGTCAATCATAAGTCTGGTAGACGAAAGGTCGGTGATAGGCTAAAATACACACTTGATCTATCTGTAAGTGATTGCCTCTACTTGTAATTACGGAATTTGAGGATTTGGTAGGGATTTGGAGGAGATTAGGTTTTCTCATTTATAACTCGTAAGATATTTGTTTTCATTAAAAACCAGTGTCTGCCAGGCAGGAAACGCCTACATTTTGCAAGAGATGGATAGAGAACAAGCTAAAACAAAAACGATTTATTGCACAATCAGGGGCCATAATCTAGAAAGTTATGGTCTGAAATGAGCAAATATCAAAAGGGACTCAGATTTATAGAATATAAAGATATGTTTTAAGTTTTATCAAAATGAGATAAAAGATTTGACCTCTACAGGGTTTATAACCTTTGTATTACATATTTATACACAATTTTCGTACAAAGAGCGGCAATTTTGTCGGGCAGTTTCAATTTCATTTCAATTTTCCCGAAATTCCAATTCAACCTTCATTATGGTAGAATGGTGATATATCTAAACGGTTTTTAAAATCGGAAAACAAATGTGAACTCTTGAGAATCCACAAGCTAAAAATGCGATTTTTCGACCAATCAGGCCCTTAATCCAGGAAGTTACGTTCGGATATGTGTGATTATCAATAGGAACCAAGATCTTTATGATAAAAACATATATTTAAAGTTTCATCCAAATCCGATAAAAACTGTGGCCTCTAGAGGGCCCACAACCTTTATATACCATATTTTTACACTATTTGCGTACAGAAGGCGGCCATTATGTCCGTCAGTTTTTTTTCTGATTTTCACGAAATTCAAACTCAGCCATCATTAGTATTTTTTTAATCGGATAAAAATTGTGACCTCTATAGGGACCACAAGCTCAAAACGCGATTTTTCGTACAATCAAGGGCCATAATTCAGGAAGTTACCATCCGATATGCGCGAATATCAAAGGAACCAAGATCTTTGGGTTATAAACATGCATTTCATTGTTTCATCAAAATCGGATCAAAATTGTGACCTAAAGGAGGCCCACAACCTTGACATACCAGATGTTTACACTATTTGCGTACGAGGGGCGGCCATTTTGTCCGACAGTTTTGGTCCGATTTTCACGAAATTCTAACTCAACTATCATTAGGTTGTAACGGCGATATACTAAAACGTTTTTTTTTTAAATCGGATAAAAATTTTGACCTCTAGAGGGACCACAAGCTAAAAGCGCGATTTTTCGTATAATCAGGGGTCATAATTCAGGAAGTTACGACACGATATGCGCTAATATCGAAAGGGATCGTGATCTTTGGCATATAAACATGCATTCCAAGTTTCCTCAAAATCGGATGAAAATTGCGACCTCTAGAGGGTCCACAACCTTGATATACCATATTTTACACTATTTGCGTACAAGGGGCGTCCATTTTGTCCGGCAGTTTTGGTCCGATTTTCACGAAATTCTAATTCAACCATCATTAGGGTGTAACGTTGATATACTAAAACCTTTTTTGAAATCGGATAAAAATTGTGACCCCTAGAGGGACCACAAGCTAAAAACACGATTTTTCGTAAATCCGGGCCCATAATTCAGGATCCGATATGCGCGAATATCGACAGGAACCAAGTTCTTTGGGCTATAAACATGCATTTCAAGTTTCATCAAAATCCGATCAAAATTGTGACCTCTAGAGTGTCCACAAGCTAAAACGTGATTTTTCGTACAATCAGAGGCCATAATCCATGAAATTATGGTCCGATACATGCCAATATTAAAGGAAACCGAGATCTTTGAGAGACAGACCTATATTTCAAGTTTCGTCAAATTGTGACCTGTAGAGTGTCCACAAACAAATTGTGGACGGACGTGATTTATCGTACAATCAGGGGCCCTAGTCCATGAAGTTATGGTCGGATACATGCCAATGTCGAAAGGAACGGAGATCTGTGTGAGATAGACCTATATTACAAATTTCGTCAAATTGTGACCTGTAGAGTGTCCACAAACAAATTGTGGAGGGGCGTGATTTTTCGTACAATCAGGGGCCATAATTCATGAAGTTATTGTCCGATACATGCCAATATCGAAAGGAACCGAGATCTTTGGGAGATATACCTATATTTCAAGTTTCGTCAAATTGTGACTGACAGGGGCGACGACAATGTGGACGTATAAAAATATAGCTGGATACAGCCTCTAAAGGATGCCAATAGGTCAAAGAATTATATCTTTAAGGAACAGATTATACAATTATTTTAATTATGGTTTACCTGTATATATATATATATATATATATAAACATATACTATTGCAAATATATACAACGAAATTATCATGTTTCAGTTGATGCTGTAAATCAAGGCAAAGTAACAAAAGAAAAGGTTGTCGAAATGGTTAAACCCCTTTTTTATACTAGAATGCGATTAGGAGAATTTGATCCAGATGAAATGATCCCTTACAAAAGTTTAAATTTGTCGGTTATTCAAAGCCTCGACCACCAAAATCTGGCTATAGAAACTGCGATGAAGTCGTTTGTCCTGCTTAAAAACTACAATGACTTCTTACCTTTAAAGGCGGCTAAGTACTCTACAATGGCAGTTAGTATATACTATTGATAATTAAAGAAATAAAATGGAACGAGTGTATCCAGAATTTTTTAAACAATATAATTTTTAAGACAAGATATTAGCACCAATATTTCAGTTTTTCAATCTGCAAAATAGAATAACCAAAATGTATTTTTAAAGTCGGTGCTTGCTGAAATACTGAACAGATTGTGTCGCCTTTTCTCTCAGATAATTGGTATTTCAGTTATGTGTATTGCAATAGAACTTTGCTTGTTTTAGATAGTTGGACCCATGGCTGATAACCCGGCTGGCCAAACAGGAGACTACTCTCCGGATGTTGACTTAAAATATACAACGACACCTAGACAAGGATTATCGCACCTGGCTCAATCCACAAATTTTGTCAATGGTTGTCTTGACAACAACAAGTGTAAGAAATATGACCAAGCTGGAATCATGAATGCCGTTAATAATACAGAGATTGTTTTCGTGTTTCTTGGTTTAGGTTAGAACAAAGATACTATCTTTATTTGAATATTGGACCATATCTCATCTTGTTTTTCTTGTTGTTGCTGTTTATCTTCCTCTTGGGGATCGACATTACACTTCGCATGCTTGTTCCCTGAACCACTGAACCATCGACTGACGGACTTTTTCATATTACGTCACAAGATCGAAACGATGATGGTTTCTGATCCACGTTGTGCTGGTACTTGTTTCATTGAAATTACCTAAAGTGACCATTCCCCGAGTTAACATTGCTTTTTGGATTGTGTTCAGTCAAATAAATTTTAAAACCCGACTCGATAGGCTACTATTGCGTCGTCAAGTCAATTGCTTTTTACGGACCCCCAATTTTATATATATTATATTGTGTGGTTCTTCAGGAAATGACAGTGAATGTGAAGGAAACGATCGCCAGGACATAAGTCTGCCGGGACATCAATTACAGTTATTACAAGATGCTGTACAATATAGTAAGTCATCAATTGCAATTTTCAGAATATGATATAAAATAATATAAAATAATCCATATGTCATCAATTACAATTGTCAGAAGACGATATATAATGCAGTATATGTCATCAATTACAATTGTCAGAAGACGATATATACAATACAGTATCTCACAATTGCCAGAAGATGATATAAAATACAGCATCTGTCATTAATTACAGTATAACTTGGCATATATACTATTCAAAAAAAGTAGGGGATATTTGATTTTGGGGGCATAATACTAAAATATGGAAATGACTACGAAAAAAGTCACTATAGAACCTAACAGAAGAAACATTTCCAGTTACATGTGACCCCCAAACGCACCAATAGCTACCGCATGGAATGCAGGTGATGCTTGGGATCATCATGGGGGTCCAACCCAAGATTTGCACGACTCTGACTTTGAATGTTACAGTCATTGTGGCATTGAATTCCAGGGTGGAAACATCAGTTTAATTGTTTTAGTGACCAGCAAAACAAATTTTGATATGCGTCGGCTTACCCAAAATGAAAGGTTACGTGCCCTTGGCATGCTACAGATCGGCACAACACAGGCGGTTGTGGCGCGGACGATGAATGTTTCTCAGTCTGTCATACGCAGGCTATGGTCCAGATACCGTGATACACAATCTGTACAGGACAGACCACGCTCAGGTCGACCAAGGGCGACAACTCAAGCCCAGGATCGATTTATCCGTACCTTGGCCTTGAGAAATCGTGTCATCACAGCAAATCAGATCAGCGCTCGTCTTCAAACAGACACTGGTGTGAGAGTGAGTGGCCAGACGATTCGGAATCGACTGCATAGGGGTCACCTTCGCGCCCGACGTCCTCGCGTGATCCCTTGTTTGAGAGATCATCACATTCAGGCAAGACGTCGTTGGTGTAGGGATCGTCAACACTGGGATAATCGACGCTGGAGCAATGTGATGTTTTCAGATGAGTCAAGGTTCACTGTTGATTTTTTGGACAGACGTAGGAGGGTGTGGCGTCGTCGAAACGAGCGCTTCCAAGACGTTAACGTCATCAGACATGATCGATTTGGGGGTGGTTCTGTTATGGTGTGGGGAGGCATCACTGTTGCTGGAAGAACGGCTTTACATGTTGTTGCAGGGCGTGTTACAGGCCAGTACTACCGGAACAACATCTTGGCAGTCCATGTTGTGCCGTTCGCACGACGTCATGGCCGCCGTTTCATCTTCCAGGATGACAACGCAAGATGTCACAGGGCCAGGATTGTTACAGGTTACCTCCAACAACAGAACATCACCACATTACCTTGGCCAGCACTGAGTCCCGACCTCTCCCCCATCGAGCATGTCTGGGACATGCTTGGACAGAGGTTACGTCAACGTCAACAACGTCCTGCCAATGTCCAAGAACTTGCTGCTGCGTTGCAACAGGAATGGGACAATCTGGACCAAAATGACCTTAGACGTCTCATTAGGAGTATGCCATGTCGGATCAATGCTTGTTTGGCAAACAGAGGAGGATTTACCCGTTACTGACTAGGTTGTGATGCTGTGGTAACTTTGCTGTTTGACCCCGGGTATCATTTTACCCTTATAATGGTCAGTCTGTGCCTTACTTAGTCTAACGATCATTTGGAATAAATCGATGAATGTGAACTTCATTTCATTTTGTCATTTGTTTCTTCGTCAGTTTCATTAGGTGACTTTAATAACACTTAAAAATCAAATATCCCCTACTTTTTTTGAATAGTATATTACACGTATTGCTAGATCTGTGTGATATATTAAGTCACAATTACAGCTTTACAATATAGTAAGTCACCAATTACAGCTAGAGCAATACCCTTACGGAAATCAAGTGTACACTTCAGGCTTCAGGAAACACATCCCTTTAAATGTTTCTAAAGAAAACATCGAAGTGTTCACTTTAGAGACAACTCTAAAGACACTTCCCTTGATGTGCTTGAAAAACTCCAACGAAGTACTCATTTAATTCATTTAATTAACACTTCTAAAAGATGGTCAGTGACACTTCTGGAAAACTGTGTATATAGCTGATCGTTTCATTGACACTGCTATTACATTTATTATAAGAATCTGACAATCATATACATAGAGATGCTGTACAATAAAAGTAAGTTATAAATTATATATTGCACCACATTTTTGTTATATATCATTATTTGCTTGATAACGATATCTGTATGTGTATCGAAACGTAGCATGTTAATAAATTCAGAAGTAGTATATCCATATAAGCATTTTTAATTTTAAGGGAGCCACGGTGGCTAGGTGGTTAAGGCGCTGGCTCGCTAGCCTGGAGGTCGGGTGTTCGATCCCTGCATTGGCCGAGAAAGTTCATCTGGATTTTCCGACGTGGTTTCCCCTTGTCAGTGGTGCAGAACGGAGGGCCTGACAAGGACAGCTGTCTAGTCCTTCGGATGAGACGAAAAACCGAGGTCCCGTGTATACATTGGAATGCACGTAAAAGATACCTTGGCAGTTGGAATTAGATATAAGAGTAGGCGATAGAGCCGCTGCCCGGGCAAAATTTCCCTCATAGCCCAGTATAGGAGCAGAACAGTAGGACGTTAAACCCCATTTCATTTTTTAATTTTAAGAATAAATTATTACTGATAAGAGTGCTAAAAAAGCAGATTATCCTTACAATAAATACATGACAGCTAATTTATCAATAGCACATATTAATATTTAATTCGTATACATTCTTTCAAAAATATCATTGCTTTTGTTGTACATTAGCACCGACAAAACTAATTATTTAGAAGCGGCAGGAGAAAGAAATGCGGAAAAGAAAAAAATGATGTCGAATACCACACAAAAGTACACGTAATTCAATAATATTTTTTTCTTTTAAATATTACAGGTCCTAATAATACACCAATTGTATTGGTAATGTTAAATGCGGGACCAGTTGATTTAAGATGGGCGGTAAATGAGGCAAGGGTGGTAGCCATATTGGAAATATTCTACCCTTCACAGGCGACAGGTGTTGCCTTGAGGAATATTTTGACAATGACTGGCGATTCTGGAGTTCCAGGTGGAAGACTTCCTTTCACTTGGCCGCTTTCTGAAGATCAGGTCAGAAATATTTTTAAATTTAAATAACTTACCCCATCGACATTAAGATAATTGAAAATTACTGCCTAGCATAATATTTGTTTTTTCAGATTCCACCAATGGTAAACTATTCTATGGAAGGACGAACGTATCGTTATTTGAATTCTGAACCCCTCTTTCCATTTGGTTACGGTTTGTCTTATACCAGTTTTCAGTATTCAAATCTTCAATATACAGAGTCTATCTCCGCAGGGAATGACGTCAGTGGGTTCGTATCTGTGGCTAATACAGGAAGCTATGACGCTGATGAGGTAAAAATTTCGGAAATGTATTTTATATAAAAGAAAAAAATTACTATGTTGCTATCAGTTTGGATTAAATATTATAGTATAACATTTTTCAAGAGGTTTAAATCATTTAAATTTAATGTTTTAAATCATTCATTATTGTTCCAGGTTGTTCAATTATATATTACATGGCAGAATTCAACGGTTCCAACACCAAAGATCCAACTGGCTAATTTTACACGCGAATTTATCTCCAAACAAGAGTCAAGAACATTTCCATTTAGAGTAACAGCTGAATCGATGGCAGTTTGGATAGATTCTACAGTTGGCTGGAAAGTTGAACCTGGTTAGTAGTCTGATACCATTATACAGAGGTGTACCATTTATCTCAATAGATATTCCAAATGTAACAACAGTTCAGAAATAAGCTATAATCTTTTGCATTTTCAAAATTTATTAAGCTGGAAATGCTATCAGTAGTTAATATTTCTTAACCCATTGCTACATGTATATATTGTATGTTAATTATATATTATATTTTTCAGGAACTTATGGTATATACGTTGGAGGACAACAACCAAATCAAAAGACATCTGTTGGTTCTAATGTATTAACCGGCCAGTTTACAGTAACGGGTTCATCTATTCTCGGAAAATACTGATAAATATGATATGTAAATTGTTTAGCCCCCCCCCTCCCCCATTAATTTTGACAGCAAAAAAATTGAATTCGTAAATATTTTGGAAGCATATGTACATTGTTTAACCACCCCCCTTAAATTTTTACAGCAGAAAAATGACTTCGTAAATCGTTTGGAAGCAGGATAAAAATTGGTACAATGTAAATTAATACTACACATTTTGTTGGGCTGATCTGGAAATATAAGAAAAAAAAATTGGAAATATGAAAATAAAAAGAACAACATTAGTACAAAGCCTGTGTTTTGAATGCTTATAGCCTTATGTAAAATTGTATAATTTGGATTGTGGTATATTCGGTATTTGGCAAAATGTGAAGTAATGGGTGGGGGGCGATTTGTTGTGCGGGCCGCGGCGGCTCAATGGGTAAGTCACTGGCTTGCTTACCTGGAGATTCAGGGCTCGATCCAGGTGTTGGCCGTGAAATTTAATCGAGATTTTCAGGCGTGGTGCCCCTTTGTTAATGTTGCAAAGATTGAGGTGAGGAACTAGTAAACTAATCCATCGCAGTTGGAATTCAAAATAAGAGTAGACCGTAGCCCTGCTGTCCGGGCAAGAATTCCTATCATAGCACACTGCATGGCGTAACCCGAATGAAGTAGAAGAGTAACTAAGCCCCATTTCATTTCATATTATTTTCGTTTTGTTGTTTAAAACCTGATATGATTTAGTGTATATGCCACTTGACAGTCGATACCATGTTCGAGCCAGATTCTCGAAACAGTTGTTGCGGGCATTATCAACTGGACGAACCCTAATAACTAAGAAATAGAAACCATTACAGTATGTCAGACAACAGCTAAATACTTGATCGGAATGTATGGTTGGGGTAGATACGTATCTTGTTAATTTTGACTACTTGTATTGTGCTATATATATATATATCTCGCAAATTAAAAGGCAGCCGTTGGAGACTTTATTTAATACGTCCATATTCTAGTATTGAAATATTGCCTGCTTCAAAATGCGTCCACCAAAAAAGGGTCATGATTATCATAGTGTTATTGTGAAATGGTTAAATCTTGTGTGTATTTAATCGCGAACCAAACTTGGCACTTTTAAACGTATTTAGGCCAATTTTTATTTTTTTTATCAAAATCGAATAGCAAAATCGTGATTATTCTATGTCATGGCCATGGGTCACAGATGAGCATAAATAGGTAAGTAGATAAGTGAAAGTTCATAGTAAATCATATTGTGAAAACGAGAGCAAGAAATGGAAAGGGTCAGACACCTGTGGTTAATATTGGTCTTGGTAACAAATGTTCTGTGTGATGTATTACCCTTTAGGAACACATCCTTACCATGGGATCAACGAGTTGATGACCTTGTTGGTCGTTTGACCTTAGAGGAAATGGCAGGCCAGATGGGTGGTGGTAGGAATTTATTCATATTAGAAATCCTGTTTAGAATCGGTTTGAACGTTGTTCGTTAAATTTCCCAAACACTTCGTATCTTATTTCATTAGGAGATATGTGGCGAGTCCACATGCTTTGATTTTGTGTCAAGAATCCGACCATTATACATGAAATTTGCCTTCTTTTTGTCAATTTTCCCCTAATTTCTAATATATCCATCCATGGTTTTCAACAACATGCTCGTAAATTTATTATCTGTATAAAGCACTGAGTTGTCACACGTCAGATATAAATAAAGTCTTAAGCCCGGCATACATCGACACTTGCAACTGGAGACAACTACATGTACTTGCCGGCAACTAGGAGCAACTGACAGGATACGATGTACGTGTCGATGTACGCGTACTTGCTACTGGGTGTAATACGAGCGTATTATACTATTATACTGCTTTTATTATACTATTTACGTATTACACCCAGTAGCAAGTGCGCGTACATCGACACGTACATCGTATCCTGTCAGTTGCTCCTAGTTGCCGGCAAGTACATGTAGGGCCCATAAACTAAAAACGTGATATTTCTTACAACCAGGGGGTCATAATCCAGAAAGTTACAGTCCAATACGCGCCAATATCGAAAGGAACCTAGACCTTTGGGATATAAATATATATTTTAAGTTTCTTCAAAATTGGATAAAAAATTCGAACCGCTATCCGCTGGATGGTCCACAACCTGGGCATTACGTTCAGATCGAAATATTAAGGCCGCCGGCAGATTTCGTCATGGTCAAGAGTTGTAAACAGGGTTAGGGAACGTTATTGTTGCCGAGGATTGTGGGTTAGGGTTAGGTTACGGGCTAAGTCTTGGGTTAGAGTTTGTAAGTTTCATCAAAATCGGATAAAAATTGTGACCTCTAGAGTGTCAACAGCCTTCGTATTATTATGCATATTTTTTCAAATTCAGCATCATAGGATTAAACCACCATCGACTGTGTTTTCATGATAAGGGAATTAGAAAATAAATAAAATTTCATTTCATTGCTGAGTAATTTTATTAGGCAGAAATCGCACAGAAAGCGTCTTCGAGGATCTAGACCCCTTTAGAGCTAAGACAGTAAAAGATTGTCAGATAAAAACAGCCCCAAGAGGCTCCAGCGAATTAGCTCAAAAACAGCTATGGAAATTTCATATTATAAGACTTTCTATTTTGAGGAATTTTACTATTAGATAATTAATGCAAAAAAGTAGGGGATATTCAGAAACAATACAAAACTGCGGAAATGCACTGCTGTTTTTATTAGAGGTAACCAGTGTATGTTAATAACAGGCCAATTGCCTACACATGAACATAAACAGTTCATATCGGCGACTTATCTGACGGTCCCATTTCACTCGCAAAAAGATACACCGTCAAAAGTGAAAATGGACGTTTTTGATTTTTGTCTTAATAATGAGTAATTGCTCCACCAATCCTCGAACATTCAGCAATTCGTCGTGGCATGCTCCTAATCAACCGTCCAATCACGATTTGAGGCAATCTGACCCACTCCTCTTGCAGTGCCACGGCCAATTCTTACAGTGTTGTCGGTTGACGTTTACGTCGACGAACACGTCTCCCGATCAAATTAAACGTAACACACTAAAGCAAAGATACGCTAAACAGCAAATCTTATGCAAGAACCGATAGGAAAGCAAACATGGATAGATAAACCAGCACGCGGCAGTTTTCATCAACCCTTCCTGGAAGTGTCAAATTTGACAATGAACCCCCCCCCCCCCCCACGTGTATGGCGCTATTGTGTGGTTCTGTTGGGTCGATAAGTTCTTCATCTGTGAACATACTCTCAAAGCATGTCAAATGTCCATGACTATTTATCATATCGCAACCTGTATAGGTATTTGCACTTCAATATCCCCTACTTTTTTTGAAGAGTATATAAGGCTTATCACATATGGACAAAAATGATATTTTCTAAAAGCTGATAACTTGGGCAGCCATTTTGAAAAAAAATCACATTACCTACTGAAGCACCTGTTTTTCTGTTTCACTGATGTCGATGTACGCGTGCTGAATTGAGCAATCAAATAGTTTTAGGCCGAGAAATAAAATACAAGTTTAGACCGAGAGTGTTAAACGCATTTGTACGAAATGGTAGACACGGTGTGTCTTTAATCTTTGGAAGAATAACTCCGTCAAGAATGAAATGCAGAGTTAAAACATGCATACTTGTTGTCGTATTATCTGCGCGCCATATACATTGCCATGACCTCTGCCCACCCATCTTTGTAAGCACCCTAAGGACAGTAATTGTTATTCAGTCTTTGGAGTGTGCCGTTTACGAATTTAATTAAGTTAGGAAACTCGATCCTTTGCTCTAATTGCTCAGAGAATGGAACCTTTTTAATTTCAGGTGGGTTTGGTGGTCTAGACGTTTAACGCGTGCGCGTGAAATCATAAGGCCTGCCATGTGGCGTGGTTTCGATTCCCAGCTTGTACGTGACAAGGAGTAAGGTCGCCTGTCCAGCCTCGTGGGATTTCTCCGGGGCCTCCGGTATCCTCCCACTGCTGAAGTCCCCTACGCGAAAGCGAATTATTAAAAGAAAATTGATCCATATGTATGTCCCGAAATGACATATTAAGGTTATATGAGACCGAGACAATTGTAATACTATTTTTAATATTAGTATTTATGTATATGGTCAAAAGGGTTGCCCGTGGCTGTAGTTTCGGGTTGCCTGGTAACCTATTATTTTTTTAATTTATTTTTAAAGAGGTAAAATCCTTTTCTTTTTGGACAGGAAGCATAACACCTGAAATTCAACGACTTGGTATTCAGCCATACGTATTTGACACCGAGTGTTTGAGGGGTGACGTAGGAGCTGGTCCAGCTACTGGTTTCCCTGAAGCAATAGGTTTGGGAGCTGCCTTTAGGTAAAACATATTTATTGTCGTGTTGAAAATCCATTATGATATCATAGTGCAGATAAAACAATAATTAACCTTTTATCATTTTGACAGCCCCGAATTACTTTTCAAAGTTGCCAGAGCTACGGGGATGGAAGTTCGGGCGAAGAATAACAATTACACAAGTCATAACTCTTATAAATATCACCAAGGACTCAGTTGTTTCAGTCCTGTTATAAACATCATGAGGGATGCAAGATGGGGCAGAAATGAGGTGAGCAGTTTCTGTTTTATCTGTTAGGCCTATAGTTGAAAATGTAACAGCAATCGTATACACACTTCCAGTATTCTCCGTGTATTTGAATTGATACTGGGATATCATGTTGGCGGAAGGGTTCATCTTGAAAGTGTTAGAGGTTACTCTTTCGGATTGGCTTGTGATAAGTCCCACAGTAGGAAAATCATTAAACTAAATTTTAATATCCCTAATATTGAAAATAAAAACGAACACTACATACAGTTATTGATTATTCATTCTATTTCATAGTAATGTAATCATGTCAAAATACGTGTGAAGATGGGCAAGTAAGATTTAGGGTTATTTGACTTTTGTGTAGGATGGTGCAGAACCCAAAATAAAGAAACAAGTATTATGAATTAAGACTAACAAATTTATTTATTATCGTAGCCCCATTTCAAATTAAATATTTCTACAGGAAACCTATGGAGAAGATCCATATTTAAGTGGTGTATATGCAGCAGCCTTTGTAAATGGTTTACAGGGAAATGACGCGAGGTATCTTCTCACTAATGCTGGCTGTAAACATTTTGATGCTTATGCTGGACCAGAAAGCGTCCCCGTATCTAGACATCAGTTTAATGCTCAGGTAGATAACTTTATATTAAGTATTACTTGTCATAATATAGCTTACATCTACGTCTATGACGGTTATAAATAAACTTACCATTGTCAGTAGCGGATAATGTTACATTCTAGGTTAGTGAGAGAGATTGGAGAACAACATTTTTACCAGCTTTTAGACAATGTGTTAAAGCAGGAACATATAGTCTGATGTGTAGTTATAACAGGTAGGAACACTTAATACATTCTTATGCATAGAGTAGCTTCTTATTGGGGGTAGATTTGTTGCTAATAACGGAAAGTTGTTACGGTAAATAAATGCCTTTATCAAGTTGAAATATATAGATTGTTATTTGGTACTTATTCCAATTTCAGTATTAATGGGATACCAGCATGTGCTAGTAAAGAACTGTTAACAGATATATTAAGAACAGAATGGGGTTTCCAGGGTTATGTTGTTAGTGATGCAGGAGCTATAGAAGATGCGGTATATAACCATAAATATATCAACAATAGTATTGATGCTACAGCTGCGTGTGTCAATGCAGGCTGTAATTTGGAACTACCTGTCGGCAAATATACACCAATTTATAACTCAATTGGTAGGTATTTGTATCTCAATAGGATCTCAGTTCTCGTTAAGGAGGCATATTTTCAATAGTACATCGGTCATATTTGTATTATGTATTACGATATCGATATAATATATAGTTGTCAGTCGTCATTATCAACATTTAATCCTACCAATTCTAAGAATAATGAGCTTTATTTCCTGTCTTTACACATCTCAAGACTATATCTATCTCCCATAGAAACTATTGGTGTGTATGCTATCAACCTTCTTTAAGGATATTGACCTCTAATAATCACGTTCACAAGGTAAGCAACAGTTGATAGTTTAGGATAATCGTCATAGTTTGTGTCGATGTGTCAGTTAGATAGCAGCCAATTTCCACCGTTGCTATTCGAAATTAAACCCGTGGCCTCCGTCGAATAACATCATGGAAAGCGGTTAGTATCTACTACATAACGTCACTTAATGTAAACAAAGGTTATTTTGATGGTCATCCAGTTTACGAATTAGAGTTGCTTTTAAGCGTTGTTATCTGAGAAATGTAGATGTTTGAAAGATGTTGTAGATGACTATAACATACCTGGTTTTACCATGTAGAGATTGGACGTTGCTGTATTTCTTTTATGGATTAATAAAAACTATTGCTATTTTAAGAAATCGTGCTTTGGTGTTATTTATAATACTTGAATATAGTCTTGTATCTTATATAGTTGATGCTGTAAATCAAGGTAAAATCACCAAAGAAAGGATAGTAGAAATGACCAAGCCGCTTTTCTATACTAGAATGAGACTAGGAGAGTTTGACCCTGATGATATGAACCCTTACAAAAGCTTAAACGTGTCGATAGTTCAAAGTGATGCTCATCGGAGCCTGGCTTTAGAAGCTGCAACAAAGTCATTTGTTCTTCTGAAAAATGACAACAATTTCTTACCTTTCAAATCAACAATGTACTCAAAGATAGCGGTGAGTACTTTATGAGTTTTAAACTCTTTTGGACTTTGTTGCTTTAATGCTTTACCATAAAAAGAAACTGATACTATTGTGAATTACATTTTACTTTTTAAGCTAGCAAAAAGCGAATGACATTTAAGCAAAAAGAAAATTGAGGTACCTGGGCCTGTGCAGGTTCTATATACATTTTGTTAAATATTAAGTTTTAACACGATTAAATATTGCTTTTACATAATGATTAACCGATAAACCGACCCTGTGACGCGAACATGACAGAATAAATGCTAACTATAGAACGTAGATAATTAGATTACATCTAGTTGATAAAATAAAATCACTTTGGTTCAAAAAGTAATCAAACCTATCAAGTTTTGGTCATTTAAATTTTGGTCTATTTATTTCACATCGCCATCTTAGACAAATGTGTTTTAGACACAAAAATAATAATAATTATGATATGATTACATAATATCGTTATAATGACACAGTACATCATTTCCTTTTTTACTTTTGTTGTGCTTTAACCAATTTACAGTATTTGTTATTATTTATCCAGGCTTTTAAATATTATATTTTCACTTTAGATTGTTGGTCCAATGGCCGATAACCCGAACCGCCAGACCGGAAACTACTCCCCCGATATAGACGAAAAGTACACTGTGACGCCGAGACAGGAATTGTCAAAATTGGCAGAGTCTTCAACTTATGCTAATGGTTGTAATGGCGATAATAATTGCAAAGATTACGATCAAACTGGAATTATTAATGCAGTAAATAATACAGATATTGTCTTCGTGTGTCTCGGACTAGGTAAGCCTTCATTCAACAAACCAGACCGTAAGCCTATACAGAGCTCAAAATATCGAAGTGTCTGTACAAATATTGACAATCAACGGGGTTTGAAATGAAGAAGCTAATAGATGCCATTACTATGTCTCATTCTATAACCATAGGAAAAGATCAGCGTTAGGTTTCGATAAGACTATCGTCAAAACCGTCACATTTTAGACAAATTTCAAAAACAGCCCCAATACGATATCATGTGAATGGGCATACATTTTCGAACAAGAAAGTAATCCTACATGTACAAACCAATAATGTTCTATATTCTATTATTTCTCAGGAAATGATGTTGAAAAGGAAGGAAAAGATCGTGCTGATATAACTCTACCTGGTCACCAATTGCAGCTATTACAAGATGCTGTGCAAAATAGTAAGTTATCAATTATAAATATACTATAATTCATCAGTTACAGTTGTTGCTAGATGCTATAAAATATAGTAAGGGATTAAACGTCCTACCTTTATGCAAGACGCCATACAGTGTTCATTTAGGGCAATTTTGTCCAAACAGCGGCGTGCTTGAACTATTTATCGAATTCCAACTGTCAATTGTTCCATTTCGTACACATCAATAGTTGCCTCGGTTTTCCGTGCCATCCGAACGACTGGACGATATCATCTTTGCCAAGCCCTTCTTCCTGCACCACAGTCAGACTGAAAACAGACTTTCTTGGCCAATACTGGGACCCAAACCGGGACCTCCTTCTTTAATGACCCAGTGCCGTACGACAGACGTTAAAATGACATTATTGTTGTTCATATTAACGCCAATTCAGTATTATTAAAACTCATAGGTGAAAGAAGATGAAATATTCACTTTAAATCCCTAATCATCTGAGATGATTTTCTGACTATTAATGTTATTAAGCTCAAAGATGGATTCAATGCGACCAGATCACTATTGGTCTGTGAAAGTTTCTGTGCATTTCAATTATCAATATATTTGATGCGTTGCTTCATTTAAGATCAATCAAAATAATGTTTGAGTTCATACGAAGATAAATTGAATGTTGAAAAACATGACATGTACTCGATTCCTAATTCTCTAGCTATCAGAATTTGTTTTCTCATCACAAACAATCAGGATTTTTGCTCAATATCGCAATTTTAACGTAAATACACATACAGACACAAAACGCAAAATAATATTAAACACGAGTATAAATTTCGCAATATCTTAAACTGCAAACATTGGGAACCGATGCATGCTTTTAGGAGATTAACTTTGCATTAATTGCTACGCAAAAAAGGGTTTACTTTTATTAGAAGATGTTTGCGTTTGCCTTTGCGTTTACATCATTAAAGATGTACGCATAAAGTGATATAATCAAAAAAAGATTTACCAGTTACAACTTCTCGTCTCGTATGATTTTTTTTCAGGTCCATCTTCTGCGCCTGTGGTGTTAATACTGTTAAACGCTGGCCCAGTTGATTTAAGATGGGCAGTCGGTGAGTCCAGGGTGGTCGCCATCTTGGAAATTTTTTATCCTTCACAAACCACGGGTTTAGCCTTGAGAAATGTTTTGACAATGACTTGTCCGGTCGGCATACCTTGCGTTCCTGCTGGAAGACTTCCGTTCACCTGGCCTCTTTCTGAAGATCAGGTAAGAACTATGTTTATTTGCTTTGCTGCAGTTCTTACAGAACTTGATGAAATCAGGTGAAATGATCACCCCTTGCAATAAGTATGCACGGTAATCATTTGATATTCATTGTTATATTGAATATTTCATATTTTTATCAAGGAAATGCAATTGGATTTCCCGATTTTGTTATTGTCTAATTAAATAGTTATTTTCTTCCAGATTCCACCAATGGTAAACTATTCTATGGAAGGACGAACGTATCGTTATTTGAATTCTGAACCCCTCTTTCCATTCGGTTACGGTTTGTCTTATACTAGTTTTGTCTACTCTAATTTACAATACGCCAAGTCTATACAGGCAGGATATGACGTCAATGGAGTGGTCACTGTGTCAAATACAGGAAATTATGATGCTGAAGAGGTACTGTATATTTTGGCGAGTTAAACGTTAACGATTATAACGTTAATTATCATAAATTTTTAATAGCGTTATTTATTATAATATTTTAATGAATCATGTTTCTTTTTGCAAGATATTTATGTTTGTAGATTTTGCCATTAAACCACAGCACGTATTCTTTCAGGTTATTCAAGTATATATTACATGGCAGAATTCAACGGTTCCAACACCAAAGATCCAACTGGCTAATTTTACGCGAATATTTGGCTTTAAACAAGAGTCGGGAACATTTCCATTTAGAATAACACCTGAGTCGATGGCAGTTTGGGTAGATTCTACAGTTGGCTGGAAAGTTGAACCGGGTTAGTAGTCTGAAACCCTTATACAGAAGTGTACCATTTATCTCAATAGATATTCCAAATGTAACAACAGTTCAGAAATAAGCTATAATCTTGTTTGCATTTTAAGCTGGAAATGCTATCATCAGCAGTTAATATTTATTAACCCATTGCTACATGTATATGTTGTATATTAATTATATATTATATTTTCAGGAACTTATGGTATATACGTTGGAGGACAACAACCAAATCAAAAGACATCCGTTGGTTCTAATGTATTAACCGGCCAGTTTACAGTAACCGGTTCATCTATTCTAGGAAAATACTGATCAGATTTTATTTATTGAATAAAGGTTTGATATCTTACCTATGGAGACTTGTTTATATTTAGAAATCTGTGTGCAAATATAGATGATATATAATAATATTTCCCTAATCATTTTTTGGTATTAGCTTGGATCTAACATTTGTGCTTTGCGGCAAGTTTTGAAATATGGTTGGCTGTAAATAGTGTGCATTCTTACAAGCTGTATAATTTATAGAAAAGATACATTTGCCGCATAGTTTTGAGAATTCGGACTCTTTGGCCGAAGAAATCAAACAATCTAAAAATTTCGTAGTTACAAACTTTTGCCAATTTTGAACCTACTTCACCCTAGTTGACCGTAATGACAATACGTTTAAATGAACTACGGGCAACTACGTGCCTGACCGTATGATGTGACCAAGGCTTAAATGTTTCATAATCCTTTCCAGATACGCGATATATCAATAATGGTATGCATTTAAAGCCTTTTCTAGCCGTTCACAAACTGCCTAGTGATTTAAATGTCAGTTTCACGAATTCTTCCATATGGTATGGATTTGCAAAAACTAAGTCATATCTATGATTCGTGACCTTGTTATTTGATAAGATATTGGTAAAAATTTTGATTCCTTCGTAAATCAGTATACAAGCTTAATCTATTCTGGGGCCAGTTTAACTGAGAATATGATGTCATATATACATGTCTTCTGGATACTTGGGGTGTATGGGCTGCCTGGAATAGTATGCGACATTTTACCTTTTCGCAATACGTCCTTACCATGGCAGGAACGAGTGGACGATTTGGTCAATCGTCTGACACTGGAAGAGATTATGGGCCAGATGGCAGGTGGTAAGAAATTACTATTATTTTTATTTGTCATGTAATCTACGACACGTGTTTGATAGGACGTGGCTTAACCCATTATATTTGCTGAGTGGCAATATTGTTCATACACACTGTCGCTCTTATAATAAAATAGGATTTGTCTAATATCTTAATGTTCTGCACCTATCCATGCTATGAAGGACATTTTACCGTGATAGCTGTGTTAATGCCTACTCTTAATTCGAATTCCATATTTAACACTGGACATCTACAAAATGATCTTCCATCCAGGCAAGGGAGCCCAGACTGGTAAAATCCCGAGTAAGTGGGATAGAACCAGGGACTTCCTACTTAGTGAGCCAGCACGAAACGCACAGAGCCATCGCGGCTTCACTACTGTTAAAAACTATCACGATAACTTTATGATAAAGCAATTTAGCTCAAGTTTTTAACAGCAAAGTATACCCATATACTCCACCGAATCAATGGCAAGTATCTCTTATGATATGCAAAACTAGGTTTCTTATTTGGAATTCGGATATATTGTTGGTATACACTACCTACGTAATGCTGTACAAGTTATCTGTTATCTTGAAGTCGGATATACGCTACGGTTATTGCCAAAGGAAAAGCATGAAATCGTTGGGTCAAATGTTAATTAGAGTGGCTTAGTCAGTGAGTAAGATTAGTTAATTGTAGATGTCACTTGCAGTTGCTTTCAACTTTTTAAGGTTTTATTGCCACTGGGATATCACGGTTAGATATCAATCCATACCCTTTTAGTACAGAATGTCTTAGAGGTGATGTTGACGCAGGAAGTGCAACAAGTTTCCCAGAAGCACTAGGTTTAGCTGCAGCCTTTAGGTAAGTTTATAACGAGCATTTGAACAGATGGACGAAGTCAGTGTTTTAACACACCAAAGCCAATTAAGATCGCTTGTGTTTGTGTCAGTTTCAAGACATTTTTTTGCAATAACTACAACAGTTTCAGACCTGAACAATGGTTGCATTGGTGTATTTTGCCGATAAAATACAATCATATTGATATATAATATGCAGTATTATGCATACCCACTATGCCCTTTCCAATAGACAAACCGATAATTTTTCTTTCAGCACTGATTTGATTTTTCGTGTTGCTAGAGCTACGGGATTAGAAGTTCGTGCTAAAAATAACAATTATACAAGACATGGATCGTACGAATTGCATCAGGGATTAAGTTGTTTCAGTCCTGTAATAAATATTATGCGAGATGCTAGATGGGGTAGAAATGAGGTGAGAGATTCAAATTTCAAGATAAAGCTCTCCGAAATACAGTTCCAAAATATAACCCCATTTACATTTTAGTACTCGTTCTCGAGGCATATTATTTTACTCTTTCTATAACTCCTAATACTACCTCGCTAACGGATATTGATTTTTTAAATAAATATCCCCATTTAAGGAGCCGCGGTGGCTCTGTGGGTGAGGCGCTAGTTCGATAACCTGGATGTCTCTCGAATTCTCGGTTTGGGTCCCCCTGGTAGTCAGTGGTGCATGACAAATTTAATGGCCGCGCAAGGAACGGCGCCTAGTAGTTCGAAGGGAACGAAAAACATAGGTCGTAAAATAAACCATGGCCGTTGGAATTCGAAATAAGAGCCGACTGTAGCAAAATTTCCCTCATATGATTAGCAGACGTATGTCCGTCTACATTAGTCCGTAATGTTCCCATTTTAGAAATCCAATTACTGCAAAATGTCTACAAGTCTGCCTTGTTATCCTGGGATCTATTACTTAGCGTATTGTATATAATTTTAGTGGCAGGAAGATAATAATGTATCAGACATTGCTTATGGAGATTAAAGTGAATTAAATCTTATATATTATATTAATGTTATGTAATATAGTTCATATATCTGCTGTAGTAGCCTAAATATATTTTTTAGGAAACCTATGGAGAGGATCCATACTTTAGTGGTGAATATGTAACTGCGTTTGTTAAAGGTTTACAGGGAGACAACCCACGATATCTTCTAACGAATGCTGGTTGTAAACACTTTGATGCCTATGCTGGACCTGAAAATATTCCTATATCTAGACACATGTTTAACGCACAGGTAGACCTACATGCTATGTAATTTTAAATGGTTCTTTCATTTCATATCTGAATGAGATAATATACAAAGCTGCCTAAATGCTAACTAAATAAAAGCTTTCTTAGATTAAACTAAACAGTTTATAAATTACCAGTCAATAAATCAGCAGTCTGGATTCTCGATAACGTTTCATTCTATTTTATAATGTAATAGTACTGCAGTGCTTAAACAGCGCATTACGATACTCCTTAGAGTATCACAATAGAAAAGTTAACTTTAAGTTAACGATTAACAAATTTAGTATGTAGCATTTTCCGGATTCTCGATAACCTATCACATAATTTTTATGATGAAAAGTAACCAAAAACGAACTCTAAGTGGCATTTAGTAATTGAACACTAATACACTAACACTATTCTTGGCATAACAAATACTGCTTTATTAACATGCAACGTTTCGACGATGATACTCTCGTCTTTATCAAACGTTGCTTGTTAATAAACCAGTAATTGTAACTCCATAAATAGTGTTAGGGAACAAATTAATTACCTTTGTGTTACATTTGTTTAAAATGTATTACAGGTTAGTGAGACAGATTGGAGAATTACATTTCTGCCAGCTTTTAGATCCTGTGTTAAAGCTGGAACATATAGCCTTATGTGTAGTTACAACAGGTAGGACTAAAATTCGCGAGAAAGATTATGGGATTCATAGATAAAGCAAATACAGACTTTCAGATAATACACAATAAAATTAATTCTCGCCAAAAAGCCCCGAAAATTATCATAATTGTGCGTTATCGCCTCTAAAATGTGCATTACATGTTATTGAACACCCACCACCAAATGTTTTGCATCTGCTCTTATACTGATCATGTTACGACAGACGGCTAACCCATTTCCATCTTTGAGGCGCTTATATTATAAAACCTAATTTCAGCCCTTGTTAAAGGTAAATGGTTTTGTTTTAACCGCCTTATTTTGTTAAATGCGTAAAGGATAATAGTTATTGGTCATCTGGCACATGGCGGCTTTCAAAATAAATCATCATCCAGATCAGTTTCATACAACTTTCAGATGGTTTGTTTACAGTTAAATCACCCAAATTATTTATTTCAGTGTTAATGGGATACCAGCATGTGCTAATAAAGAACTGTTAACAGATATATTAAGAACAGAATGGGGTTTCCAGGGTTATGTTGTTAGTGATCAAGGAGCTATTGAAAATGTTGTATATCAACATATGTATCTTAATACTACAGTGGACACTGTTGCAGCTTGTGTAAATGCTGGTTGTAATTTAGAGATCCCCGAACACGGCGTAATACCTGTTTATGATCATCTTGGTTTGTCAATTTTTCAATTAAGGTCGACTAGGATGTCTCGAGTTGAAATCTCGGCAAGGGCCAAGAAGAACTAGGACTGACACCTTCTAGAATGACAAGGAAATTGTGTCTAATCGTTCGGATGGGACGTTTAAATTGGCAGTGCATGTAAAAGATCCTTTCGCAGTTGGAATTAGAATGTTTAAACGCCCCTACCCCCTCTTCACAATGCACAGGTAATCATGGAACAAAAACAACAACGATAATTTATGTTGACTCAAAAAGACTGAAGTATCGTGTTGACCAGACTTTACACCTCATTCCATTTCATTCGAATCAACTTTCAGGTCGATTTAAAGATTACACAATAGGTTTATTATTGCAATGATTTAATGTTTAGGTTATGTTATAATATTATTGTAATTATTTAAAGTTTAGATAATGTTACAGCATTATTGCAATGATTTGATCGTTTAAGATTCATCACCACTTATGTGATCATATACAATCTTCAGTTTTAAAAAAAAGTATCCCCTTAAAGTGTCCCCGTAAAGTGTTGGCAAAACGGTCAACATAATTCTTTCATTCATTTTGTTCTGAAAATGTATACTTGGTGGACAAAATATTTTAAATATGTATCATTTATAATTTAGTGGAGGCTGTGAATCAAGGAAAATTAACTCAACAGAAAGTGGTCGAAATGGTAAAACCCCTTTTCTATACCAGAATGAGATTAGGAGAGTTTGACCCAGATGATATGAACCCATATAAAAGTTTAAATGTATCAATAGTTCAAAGTCCCGACCACCAAAATTTGACTTTAGAAGCAGCGATGAAGTCATTTGTCCTTCTTAAAAATGATAATAACTTCTTGCCCTTACAAACAACATTGTACTCTAGAATGTCGGTAAGTAGAAAACATTTCTTTTAAACTTTGGTTCGTTATTTAAATCGAGTTTTGTGATCTAGTTACTACAGTTTTATGATCTCCCTCTCCTTAATGTGATAATTCAGTCACATTAAACTTACTGTATTTAATAAAGATGTTTCACCAACACTGATAATGTGCAATCTGCGTACATGTAAACTGGACGGGCTAAACTCATAAAATATCCTTACAATCAATTAACGGCGAACTGTATTGGGGTATTACAAACTTTCTGTATACACGTCTTCAGGTAATTGGTCCAATGGCAGATAATCCAAACGGTCAGAATGGAAACTATGCTCCTACTTTAGATGAAAAATTCACAACGACACCGCTTCAAGGATTACGTCCTCTTGCTGGTAACGTACTTTATGCCAATGGATGCCTTGATAATAATAGGTGTACCAGATACGACAACGATTCGATTAAACAAGCAGTTACGAATACAGATATTGTCTTCGTTTGTCTTGGATTAGGTATTTACCATATAATTAGTGCATTTTTTTCTGGTTATCAAATTCATATTTACTGTATTGTTTAGAACAGAATTCTGTTTAGAACAGATCCTGTGTTCCCCTTTGTCAAAATGTACCTAATATACATTTTTGTATACGGATACATAAAATATTTGTAGTGAAAGATGCTGTAAAAAAAGTTGTAGATATTTTCATCTATGTCTATTTATGAAGATCTTAATATTATAAACTGTTTGCTTTTATCAAGAATAAACGAGGTAGTATCTTTTCTCCATAGGAAATGACGTAGAAAGAGAAAACAAGGATAGATCAAACATTAGCTTCCCTGGTTACCAATTACAAATACTACAAGATGCTGTTCGATTTAGTAAGTTTTGTTGCTGTTTTGGATAAAAAAAATCAAAATATATAAAGGACAACAAAGAGATAGTCAGAAAACCGAAACGGGGTACTCCGAGGAAAAATTATTTTCGACTTGTTTGTGCAATACGATTTTTCTCGGGACACTACAAATGGCATACTTCCATATAGAGGGTTTAAAGTGTCGAACACAATACCCAATTCTACTCGAGAATTTTTTTAAATTTGAACATTAGGTCATTGGACAGCATTAATTGCAGTCCTTTTGTAACATATACAAAAATCTATTAACTTAATCATGTATGTCTTTGTAAGATATTGTAATTTAATTAGCTTTTAAATTACAGGCCCTTCTCATACACCAATTGTATTAATACTATTAAATGCTGGACCGCTTGATTTGAGATGGCCAGTAAATGAAACAAAAGTGGTCTCCATATTGGAAATATTCTATCCGTCCCAAGCCACGGGGGTAGCTTTAAGGAATATTTTGACAATGAACGGTCTCTATTCTGTTCCTGCTGGAAGATTACCGTTTACATGGCCTCTTTCTGAAGACCAGGTAAAGCGCACTAATGATTTTTTTTTTTATTTAAACGGCAGATGTTAAATTTGGTATCATCGTTATTGATTTGTTTAATATTTTTAAATGTACTCGTAGTATTTTTTATAATCAAAATAATCTAACATTTCGAAACTTACTTACTTTTTCATAATTATTGATGTTTTTATCAGAATTCCAATATTTGTAAAGATTGGGTTGCGAGGCAGTTATTAGAATAACTTCTATATTCCCTTCAGATTCCACCAATGGTAAACTATTCTATGGAAGGACGAACGTATCGTTATTTGAATTCTGAACCGCTCTTTCCATTTGGTTACGGTTTGTCTTATACTAGTTTTGCCTATTCAGATTTGGAATACACGAATTCTATTCCTGCAGGAAATGACGTCAGTGGTTCAGTACAAGTTCGCAATATGGGCAGTAATGGTGCCGATGAGGTAATTTATATATAGGCACCATAAAACATTAATGCAGTAGCAACCAACCTAACGTCTAATACGTACAGATGTCACTATTCGAAAGTGAATATTTGTTAATTTTATGCCAAACACAAATGGTTAGTCATAATCTGCCATGACCCTCGTTCTTTTCAACAGAAAACTGCGAATGTTAGGCATTAGAGCAACCACAATGCCAGTTTTATCCGTGTAGCCTATGCATAACGGGCCTTTTATGTTCGAATTGTTCGGTTAGAGCCTGATTTAACATTCAGCTCTAGAACCTGTATTTTTTCTCTATAGTTGATATTCTGTCTATGTAGCTATCTATATCTACAGGTTATACAAATCTATATCACATGGTTCAACTCATCAGTACCAACACCAAACATTCAGCTTGCATATTTTACTCGGGTATTTATTCCTCAACAAGGGTCAAGTATAGTCCAATTTACCATTAAAGCTCACTCAATGGCAGTATGGATGTCCAGCACTGGATGGGTTATCCAAGCAGGTAAGTTGCCAGTAAGAAAGTCAAGTATTATTAGGTCGCTGCTCATCGTCGCTTCGAAAAGAAAGCTGCCAATTCAAGTACGATCGACATGAATCTTTGAATGTTTGTTCATTGGACATTGACGAACTTCGATTTTTGGCATGGATGTCACAATTCCACGATGACTGTGATGTACTCTCGTACTTGTTTTCGGAGATATATTACATTCTACATAATTGTTTTGCTCTAGAATATATTAAAGAGACAATTTGTTTAACATGTGTAATTCTTGTTAATTTACTATCTGCCAAGGGTTTTCAGTGTATTTTTTTTTTTTTTTTTTTTTTGTATTTCCAGGAACTTACGGTGTATACGTTGGAGGTCAACAACCCAATCAGAAGACGTCTGTTGGTTCTAATGTATTAAGTGGTCAATTTATAGTACAGGAATCGCTGATCTTAGGAAAATACTGATTTTATTTCCAATATAGAATAATAAATTTTATACGAATTAATATTATGTTTTATGGGGAAGCCACGGTGGGTAAATGAGTAAGACGCTGATTTTATTTCCAATGTTCAATAATAAACTTAAACTGTTTAAAATAAATTTTATACGAATTTGTCGCTGTTTCCTTCTATGTTTTATGGGTGAGCCACGGTGGCTAAGTATGTATGACGCTGGCTCGCTAGCATGGAGGTCGCGTGTTCGATCCCTGCATTGGCCGGGAAATTTATCAGGATTTTTCAACGTGGTGCAGGGCAGAGGGACTGACGAGGACAGCTGTCTAGTCGTTCGGATGGGACAAAAAACCGAGGTCCCGTGTATATATTGGAGTGCACGTACAAGATCCCTTGGTAGTTGGAATTCGATATAAGAGTAGGCCATAGTACCGCTGCCCGTGCAAGATTTCCCTCATAGCACACTGTATGGCGTGTGCCCGTCTTCATTAGCTCAATCGGAGCAGAACATTAGGCCGTTAAACCCCCATTTCATTTCATTTATGTTTTATGGGTTTCCCTAATGCCTTCGCTCATTTCCATACATGTCGACTAATCTGACTAGTCCATTTTCATTAAGATTGTCATTTCCGTAGGAAAAATTTGCTGGTGCCTAATTCAAGCCGTCACTTGATAATCGTATCGGTTTCGTTGCTCATGCCAGAGAAGGTTTATTTTATAGGAAGCCGGGTGGACCTAGGTTTCACGTGTTTTCGAAAGACTAGTCTCATTGAGAATCAGTAGCCGCTCGACTATCACCAGTTCCTATCATGTCACACCCCATTTCGCGCTAAATAATGAATAGTATTGTATATTATATTGTGTACCATTTAACAGTTTCAATAAGGAAAAAATATTAATCACTGGATTATGTAACTTGATCACCAGTTTATTTTGTACTTTCTACAGTTCACATGACGTATATATCTTTCGTCTACGTTATACTAAACGTAAACACATACCTACAATAATCCAGTGTAAATCCGATTATTTGCGATATGAATAATATTATTTATGTTCTTTAAGACGGTTTATGGCATGGATACGCATGTAGTGTATATATGATTAATCATATATTTACTACATAAAATAAAATCTTATTTGTTTTGTTTATAACTTCAGTAAATATCACGATACGACCATGTGTATGTATCTACAATGCTTAACATACCATACGTATACTATTCTCATTGGCACATCTCCACTTGGTCACCCTAATCCTGTATTTTCGCCAAGAATGAACCGTTATGAGATTTGCTAGAGATTCAGTGAATTATTTTACGGTTATAAGTAATAGTAAGTGTAGGAGGACCCCATCACATACAAACAATTACACAAGGCAAAGCTACCTACAGACAAACCTACGGACAGAACACAATATACACAGACACCTCAAACAACAAACGTATCAGATCAAGTGATTGGTTCGCTTTGCTGTACAGTCTCGGGTCGGTAGTGATACAGACTTCACTCAACATGAAAATCAAACTAACAGTAAACTAGGCAAGTAAAAAAGGAGGATTTTTTTCCAAAACCTTGTGTCATACTGGTGTGAGATATCACCGGTTATGTGCCACAAGAAATCTTAATGTAGGCACATTAAAGGGAACCCCTATTATAAATTACCATTTATAACAATAAACAACTAGAAATAGGCCCAAATCTTCAGAGTATCACAATCTGATTAAAACACAGATCCTATTTCGTTTCGTTTTTAACAGTTCAAAATTTCGTTTTACTTGTCTTTCGTACATTAGGATCTGAAAGAGTTGTTATATAACCCTCGTTCTGGATGGTGTGATGGATTAGCCAATGAAACGATCTGTTACAGCGAGTTTTTGGCGCGAGGTGCACGGTACTATGGATAACCTACTAGAAACCTCAACGTTGAGTGTTTAATAAAATGTCTGATGTCAAAGGGTAAAAAGCCGCTTGTATGACCTCTGACGCGACCTTCCCCTTCAACCGGTCAGATCTTCATGTAGTGTAGGCCATCAAAAGTATAAAAAAACGAAACGAAATATACATCTGTATTTTAATCAGATTACAGAGTATCATAAACCAAGCCTGAGATTTTACTCTTTCATAAGGGCAATTGGTGTACTACTTATCTTGTACCAAAATAATTACATTCAAATATAGCTAGCAATATTTTCATTGCAATATTATAACCAAATAGCATGGCGGGTGAATCAGTCGGTAATCTTTTACGTTGTTGCGCCGACATCTTAATTCCAAATATTGTCCCATACAGCTATAGACTTGGTAAATATGTTCGTCTTAAATGTAAGCATATGAAGGCATTTTGTTTGATCTAAATCATTTATTCTAATCTAATAGGCTCTGGATGCTTATCGGCGAATTGTAATGTTTGATAAGCATAGGCTACGTGGGGCAATCATAATCGTAATTGGCTGTAATTGATTACAACTTTCCAAAAAATAAGATGTAATCTGTTATTATGATTAATTGTTCATTACTTGTATGATTACTTTATGAATTTTCATTTATCCATATAGGACTACTGGTATTAATGATTAGGTGTTGCTGAATAAAAGGAATACAGTTATATTAATCAAAGCTTGTTTTAATAGACACTAAACAATAGTGATTTGACCTCCTGGGTTAACAATATGAACATTCTAAACTTTATAATGTAATTGTAATTTATCGAGACAGCTCCCTTATGCTGAGAAAATGTAACCCCTCGAGTGTTTCTTTACCTCGTGCTTATGCTGTCGGGTTTATACCCCCATCCCCACCACGCATAACTGAGAATGTGGACTTTCTCCGACATCAGGTTATTTCTATAGTACTTATTTATATATTCATGAAATAGTTCCCCAATAACATTTGTATTATCTGCATAATAATAATATATCGACTGGCATATGTATATCTTGATTGTAACAATATATTCTATAGATTACCTATAATGGTTAGATTATAACAGTTCACTACACCTGGTTATAAATATAATAAGTACTTATGTATGCTAATTATATACTACAGAAAAAAACAAACATAATTTTGTTCTTTATATCTGATATGTTTATCAGCAACCGTAAGACCGAAATCGCTTAGTCCGGAAATGAAAGATAAAAACTGATTCCATGTTGATATAATGATACTACATATCGATCTTATAAAATATTATAATTTAAAACATCTGACAATATATCTCAGAGTTATGAATTTCCGTATGGATCGCTTACAGCTAAAGCAGTAGAAGGCTATTGGTTCTCTGTGACATCATTCTTCATCGTTAACATGAACATAAATTTAAAACCGTAAATACTATTGGCGTGATTCTGATAGATTTGGTATTTCACTTCAGCCTATGCATTTATATTGAAAGTGTAAGGGGATTTGATAGTTTTCGCGAACACCTTGAACCCGAATCTGGGCATAATGACTTTGTCATCATTAGTTGAAAAGAAAATAAAAAATATAAATGTTTCACAGGGGTTTAAAAAGCAATAGTTAAGTATGTAATAACTCCATGCTTATGTTGTTACCAAGGCGCCAAATAACTATAACCAAATACAATATAGATAAAAAATGAAAGTCGCAGTTTGATAGACAGCAATGCTTTGGTCTGTTTTGTTCGTTTGGGTCATGGTGTCAGTACGTTATTGATATATGTATCATCGGGTATATATTATTTATCTAGCCTATGTATTATATTAACACGTTCTTTAATCTCTTTGTGGGTGAATTAGATGTTTAATATGACATACTATATATATATATTATATATTCGACTAATACGTATTTAGTATCTAAAGAAAGTGATGTTTCGGTTATTAATCGTATCGACCTATTCTGTATTAATCTTTGATATATTAATTACTGATCTATTCCTATTCACCCCAGTAATCATAAAGTGTATTTAAGTATGTATGTATCTCAAGGCTTTCTATACACATACACTTGGTACGGTCCTTTAATCGAGTGGTATTAAAGGGACACGAATCGATCGATTGTCTGTGATATCACCTCGGTGGAAGCGGGCGTTAAATAAAGCTATTTCACACACACATCGATTTTCTTGGATCTCCTGATATAATGTAATGCTCAATACACGTTCTGTAAGCGAAGGCATTTCTTCTCAACTTGAACTCGGTTCTTTTCAGAGTATGCATGCTTTTGGTAATTTACTCAACCACCTAGAAATTAGACGGTTCCGTCTTCAATGGCTTATTTCTCAGCTATTTATTTGTCAGACCAGTGATCAGTATCTCAACAATACCGATGCATATGGGATTTGAAAATCTCTCAATATTGAAATAAATAAAAATGCATATCAAGTTTGTCAATATGTACTATATAAATACCACTATTGAATAATGTGAAAGTGAAAGTATGTAACTTATATATTTTATTATATTTTCTTCTTTGGTATACATCTTATCACAATAAATATCATTATAATTAATGTTAATAAGTCAGGTACAGCACAACCACATTCTACATGTTACACGTTCTACAGAGAATCGCCAGCTTTTTTTATTTTCATTTTCTTTTCCTTTTGTTTCATTTCTTTTTCCGTTAGATCATGTACACAATATAAAGTATATAGAATATGGTCGTACTGTACGTAACGCAATATTAAACTTAAAATCAGCAAATTATTTGGTATATTAAAACAAAATAGTATCTATCAACCATAGTCAGGTCAGGTTAAGAAGTATATTCCTAAAATCCTTGGTATTTGACTAGTGGGACATGGAAATGGAGAACTTTTTTTCCATTTGAGTTGAAATAAAACTACCAATGTAGTCATTTAAAAATATTGTTGCTATCGTTGAAAACCATATTCACGAGAACTTAGATCTGTTAAAATAGACGGTATAAAATAAGTACTTAGTTGCCCCCTGGAAACTACAGTTAGCTCTTATTCAGCCTACTGATGGTTTCCACGTTACGTAAAAGATAACAAATAAAATAATTAA